TTCACTTTTCTACATTTCCAGTCAGTCTCTATGCAGTCTCCACTTTCCATCATTGGTTATCAGGGCTCTCCCCAACTAGTATTCAGTTGAGTTGATTTTTCAGGGTGGTTTTTCTGTATTTTAGTTGTATTTCCAGTTTGGTCCTGGGAGAGTGTCAGGGTAACTTACTCTTCCGCCATTTTTAAGACTCTCTACTTTTAGCATTTTGATAAATTTCCCTTCAGTCATTTATAGATAGATGTGTTTTAAAAATACTTCCCTGGGATACTAGAGGCATTTCTTCAGAAGCTAATTTTTCACTTACATCATTATTGAACACTTTCTCCTGACATCAAATAGCCTAATAAAATGTTAATTGCTGATAAAAGTCCTCTGGATAAATACACAGCCCCACATTTTCTTTGAGCAGTCCCACTGGACACTTGGATAGTTTATCTTTCATTTTTTGTTAACATAAATTTATTTTCTCACCATTGTAAAGGCTGGAAGTCCAAGACCAAGATATTACCAGGGCCCTGGGTTTTATAGTGAGACAATGAGCTTTAGAGACTGGTAGAAAGAAACTTATTCAAGCTTGTAGAGAATCCAGCCACAGCACACTCCTGGGAGATGAAGACACCAAACATCATGGTCTAAACCTGGACACATGGTCCATCAAAAAGACATCTCCAGCCCCATCCGCCCATCCAGTTTGGCTCAGTGGATAGAGTGTCAGCTTGCGGACTGAAGGGTCCCAGGTTCGATTCTGGTCAAGGGCATATACCCGGATTGTGGGCTCGATCCCCAGTAAGGGGCATGCAGGAGGCAGCCAATCAGCAGTTCCCTCTCATCACTGATGTTTCTCTCTCTCTCTCCCTCTGAAATCAATAAAAATATACTTTTAAAAAAAGAAAGACAGCCGAAACCGGTTTGGCTCAGTGGATAGAGCGTCAGCCTGCGGATTGAAAGGTCCCAGGTTCGATTCCGGTCAAGGGCATGTACCTGGGTTGCGGGCACATCCCCAGTAGGAGATGTGCAGGAGGCAGCTGATCGATGTTTCTCTCTCATCAATGTTTCTAACTCTCTATCTCTCTCCCTTCCTCTCTGTAAAAAATCAATAAAATATTTTAGAAAAAAAGAAAGACATCTCCAAAAGGACACCCTCTAGTTGCACTGGATTGGACCATGTTGGATATTGTTAACTAATCCCTGAGTTGCAAGGTTAAAAGAGATGGTTCATTTAAGTAACACAAAAATTCACCTAAATGGCCTACTCAGGGTCACCTGAGAAGTCCTTTGTGTCATCTGGAAATGGGTATTCAAAGTGTAAAAATACCTTACAGCTTCATTGCAGATCCAAATTTACTGCATCCTTAGCAAGTACCACTGGAAAGATGAATCATCTTTAATCTTTATAGTAAGACTCCTACCAGTTAGACTTTCTTCAGCCTCACCAACCCGCATACCTGGAAACCCAGACTTCAACCCTCCTCTTTATTTTATCTGCCCCCAAAACTGAGTGAGAATAGAACATGACTGTTGTGGGGTTTTTTTAAATATATATTTTATTGATTTTTTACAGAGAGGAAGGGAGAGAGATAGAGAGTTAGAAACATCGATGAGAGAGAAACATCGATCAGCTGCCTCCTGCACATCCCCCACCGGGGATGTGCCCGCAACCAAGGTACATGCTCTTGACCGGAATTGAACCTGGGACCCCTCAGTCCACAGGCCAACGCTCTATCCACTGAGCCAAACCGGTTTCGGCGAACATGACTGTTTTTAAGATGTTTTAGGAATCTCTTTGATTAAATAAATAGTTGGCCATATTTTCTTTTGCTCCCCCAAACTCTTATATTAATCCAGTGAACAAATTTGATTAAACATTTTGTTGCCACACACTGTGCTAGACACATGGATCCCTACAGTCATGCTCTTCAATTCATGGGAAGGACAGACAGTAAACAAGAATCAGCCACACTGTGGTCAGTGCTATGAAGACGACAAAAGTGATGGGCTGGGTGAGGTAGGTAGGAAGCCCTCTCTAAGCAGGTGATATTTGAACTGAGACCCGGAGCATGAGAATAAGTCAGACTGTTGATTTTTGTCTGCATCTTACAGATTTTCATTTCTAGTAAAAGTAAATGTCAATATTGAATATCCCACATAAACAAAACGTTCTTTGGGGGTTCTTTCATTTTTCCCTCAGAAAATAAGGGTCATGAGACCAAAAAGTGAGAAAACCACTATGGTTTACCTCCAGCCATGAGTGGTACATTTCTTTCTTTGACCTCATAAGGTGCCATTGTGATGGAAATACAAACCACCCCTTTAAGGTACTGGCTGGGCTGAGGTTTTAGTCTGTTAGAGCCCAGGAAGCTGATTGGTGGTGACTTTTTGGAGTTGGACTAGTTGGCTTGTTTTCTCATAGTTGTGTTTTGTTGTTGTTGTTTTTTCATTGTTTCTTTTTTTTTTACTTAAATTTTTTTTCTTTTTATATTTCATTTTTTTATTTTATTTTCTCCTCCTCTTCTTCTTCTACTCATCTTCCTCCTCTCTTTTTTTCTATTTTCATCACTGATCCACTTTAGTGAGTACAGATCTCAGAGAATATTTTTTTATTTCTTTAAGTCATCATGTCTGATGACTTTGTAGCCATCTCTGCCAATGAGGAGTGCCATATTGGCAACTACCTCATCCTCAACACCTTTGGCAAGGGATCCTTTGGAGAGGTTAGGCTGTCACACTCACCAGCACAGAGATGGCTGTAAAAGTTGTCACCTGGCAGGGTTCTCTGATGTTCTTCAAGAGATTCATTCTCTTAAGAGATTAAATCATCCCAACATTACAAAGTTGTTTGAGGTCGTTACCATCAGGACAAAGTCTATATTTTCATGGAACACGCTAGTGAAGGAACCTTATTTGACTATTTAGAGAACTGTGGCCCCATGATAGAGAAGAAAGTCTAAGCCATGTTCCAGCAATTATTATCAGTGGCCCGGTATTGCCATCAGAGACACATAGTACTTCAGGATCTGAAGCCGGAGAACATTTTTCTAGATGGTGAGATAAGGGTTAAATTAGCAAACTTTGGCTTCAGTGGGGAATTTACAGAAGAGAAAAAGTACATTCTGTGGCACCATCTCCTATATGGCCCCAGAGATCTTGCAGCTCAAAGCCTATGAGTGCCCGAAGATGGACATCTGGAGCATGGAGGTAGCACTCTACAGGATGGTGACGGGAACTTCTATTTGTGGGGGGAAATTTTGAAGAAGTTAGGAAGATCTTGTGTGGGCACTTCTTTATACCATACTTCCTGTCTCTGAAATGTCAGACTTTTACAGAACTTAATAACTCTCAACTTCAGCCAAAGATCAACAATGAAAGACATAATGAAGGACCACTGGGTCAACATTGGCCAGTCAGAGAAACTGAGGCCATACTTTGAACCACCCTGAGGTGACTTAGACCCAAAAGTAGTCCAAATAATGAAGACATGGGATATGAATAGCATGAGATAGAGGAATCACTCACAGGAAGAATATATAACAACATCATGGGCACTTATCTAATACTAGATAGCATGAAAACCCCAAGATCAGGGGAAGGCCCTGAGCCTCCCCAGACCCCAACATTAGTCTTTCCCCAGCACAGGGGTTTCAGACTTCAGGGCAGAATGGCCGAGACCCTGGAACTCCACCACTCAGCCCAGAGTCAATGATGCCCACTCCCCCAGGAAGTCTGGGAGGACCACCACTCCCCCAGGCAGCATGCAAGCGAGGATGGCCACTCCCCCAGACTAGAAGAAACGATGACCATTTACCCAGCCAGCGTGAAGGGAGGAATTCCATTCCCTAGCCAGTCCCAAAGGAAGGACCACACAATCTCCCTATGCAGCCTGGAACCAAGGATTGCCACCCTGAGCCAAATCCTCCAACATGACCCTGGGGGGCCCCCACCACCCACAGCAGCAGCAGCATTGGTGGACCCCCAGAGGGGACAACCAATGAAAACTGGCTTCAAGCTGGGCAGCAAGATGATGGACTCCAGCCTCTTCCTCTGGCCACGGCCAGGGCCCACAGGGGGTGGGCTTGGAGGTTCTTAGGTTTTTCTTAAGATTCTTATGCTATAAGTTGTCCACTGACAAGCAGCATCTCAAAAGGACAAGAGTGAAGTCAATATAATTTTTTACAATAGTGGACAGCCAAAGCATGACCAGCCAAACATGCTGGGGCAATCAAGCAGTACTTTCTGCATTGTAAATGTTGAACTTTAAAGATGCTGAGCTCCAGAGACAGGCCATGTGGTGTGGGAGATGAGACAGAAGCTGGATGTAAGCAGCAAAGCACGAAATACACGCTGTATTTCTGGAGAGACCATGGAGGTGTGCTGACTGCCGAAGCATTCTCTGCATGGCATTCACGTCAGGACGGTATCCCGCATCCATGGCCTTCAGAAGCATCTTATCCAAAATACCCTGAGCTTGGAAGACTGCCTGGAGCCCCCTGGGGGGGTCAAGAGGAGAAGCTGTCCTCCCTATGAGTCCGCCCTTCGGCTCCCACCTGAATGAAAACTTCAGAGACTGGAACTGTTTTTCCTGGGGCCATTCTCCCTGCCCTGCTCTCCTTTGCTCCTATGTTTGTAGGGGTTCTTATTAAAGTATTTAGCTCTCTCAAGTTTCCTAATGAACTTGATGCTCCAGAGAGAAAAAAAAGATGTCACCAGGCTTGGTTTCTCCTAAGGCCTTTCTCCTTGGCTTGCAGATGACCACCTTCTTGCTCTGTCCTCATGTGGCCTTTCCTCTGTGCATATGTTTACCATTTTTGGCCAACATAAAGCGAGTGCAGGATCGGATTTTGCCAAGTGACCGTCTCCGACGAGGGCACACAGACCCAGGCGGAGGAAGGGGTCACGTCTGACCCAGCGGGAAGCCTGAGACCTCGTGCAGGACGCAAGCCCAGCTCTGTGACGTATGCCTAGGTCCCGCCCTGTCAGGCGAAGCCAATCGCAGCGCGGGGCGGAGGGGCTCCAGAGGCGCGCGTGCGCCGGCTGCGGGCCAGCCGGGCGCGATGGACCGGGCCCTTCCCAACGCCCCGAGTCTGGCGCAGCCGCTGCCGGCCGAGGTGTGCTCCGAGGAGGAGCTCTATGACTGCCCCGATTACTACTACCTGCGCGACTTCCCGGCCAGTGGGGCCGGACACAGCAAGGGCCGCACGCGGCGCGAGCGGGAACTGCGCACCAACTGGCCGGTGCCTGGCGGCCACGAGCGCAAGATCGCACAGAAGCTCCTCAACGGCCAGCGCAAGCGGCGCCAGCGCAAGCTGCAGCCCCGGCCGCGCACTCGCCTCGCCTGCGCGCTGGTGCGTACGGGCCAGACCCTTGGGGCCCGGGGAGCCCCGTGAGCGCGAGCGCCGCGGGCCACTTCCTTGGTCCCCTACGATTCGACCCGGGCACAGTCGCCCCTTCGGAAGCGGCCCCGCCTTAGCGAGTCGCAGGTGGACCCCGTTAGCCCGCAGCTTATCTCCTGACTGCAGTTGGAATGGTGGAAGGGGCTAGGGAAGGTAGAAAACATCTTTTTAAAGAAATACAAGTGAGGGGTTTACTTCCAGTGTTGATGCTCGGACCAAAGAAAATAACTGATTTTTGTTTCTGTCTGATTTTTCTACAGGATACCGAAGGACCTGATAAAAAAAAGTCTTTTCTTTGACTCCCTCTGCAACTGGTCTTAAGGGGAGAGAATCCATGTTGGTCAACAGAATTTGGTTTTGGCATCGCTTAACTTTACTGCTTCAACGGCCAGACTCTGGTTGTTAAGTAACATCCAAGTGGGTATGCCTTTTTAGGGTTTTTAATTAAAAGAGAGCAGCAGCAAGAGTGGCATTTTAACTCTTCTAGTGTTTTTTTTTTTTTTTTTAGTTGCTACGGTAACTAGTTTTAAGTCTACAAATATTTGCATTCTTCTTCCTAAAGAAAAGGTCACAAAGATGAATGGGGGGAGGAGAACAAAGATAAGAATTTGTACAAGATTTCAACTCAAGTGTGCAGGTTTAATATTTGTTTTCCAAGAAAAGAAGTACTTTAAATTGTAATAGTGTCTGTTGAACCTAGTTGCTAGGTTCTCTGCACTTCACATGGCACAACAATCCTTTGAGGTGGACACTATCTCCATTTTAGAGAGGGGATTCTTGAGGCTCAGAGAGTTCACATATCTTTCCAGAGGTTGCACAGCTGGTTAGAAAGAAGATGGGCATCACAGATACTTTCGTAAAGCATTCACTCTTTCCAGCATCACAATTTTCCTCAACTGTAGACAATGTTATGTGGTTCAGAACCAACCACAAACCTCCATGTCCAAGGAAAACAGTTGAATTTTAGTTTTAAAATTATACAGAATATGGCCAGGTACCTTTCCTTTATCTTCATTCTGCATTCATTCAGCCCTTGGCACCCAGTGATGAGTCCGTGGTTAGGAGAGAAAGGTGTGTACTGGAAGGAGCAATCTGAATATTAATCCTAGCTGTGAACACCACTCTAGCAGTCAGCAAACTTCTGACTACTTTCAAGTTCCAAGTCTCAGGTTTCTCATTTGTAAAATGGGAATAATATTGGATTACCTTGCCAAATTGGATTATAGATAAAATATATGAAACATCCGACACAGTTAAGGGCCTGACACATAATAGATGCTCAATAAATGGTAACTACTTTTACGTTTACAGAATACAGTCCTTCCTCTTTGGTTACAAAGTCTTGATTATTTCACTCACTACATTAATTCTTTTCAATATCTCCAACATCAGGCAGTGTGTTATGGTAGGAATCGCTTTGGAGTTAAACTATACTGACTTGGTCAAGTTGCTTAAACTCTAGATTAATCTACCAGAAGACCGTTTTAATCGTATAAACCCCTCAATCTTATAGGATAAAAGGCCTAGATTTCTTACGTTGTGCTGGAAATGATCTATTGGATTTTCTTAAGTTTTGACACAACTTCCAAAAAAACACTGATTCTTAATACAGGTCTTCTGTCCTCTAAACTCACCATAATTATTCATTTGAATCTGTGCTGTTGTATTTAGCATACTATTTCCCCCTTTACAGTTTTAATCTTGAAACTAATTCCACCTATAATTATTTAAATGCCACTTTCTTCCTGAAGCCTTCACATTGAATGTCCATTCTTTGAAATCCTGTAGAACTTCACATAAGCACCCCTTAACTACTTGTTCATATAATACTTTGTATTTTTAGATGAGTTAAAAAAATTCATTCTTTTTTGTCTGATATCTGCAAGGCACTGTATTTATATGTCTTAGTTATAAAAACAACCACTACATTTAGAGTATAAGAACCTTAATGTTTCAAACATTTCAATTCCTGCTGTAAAGTACAGCATACTCAGACAGATATAAGCCATGTTAAAGCAACACTCTAATGTGTGTTAACTAGATTTTGCTCATTTTAGATACTAGAATGTGTACAGTTTAAATATAGTAATTGTAGAAATTGTGTATTAATTACTTATTGCTGTATAATAAATTACTCCAAAACCTAGTGGCTTAAAAGAACAAATACTTACTATCTCAGTTTCTGTGGGCCAAGGATTCAAAGTAGCTTAGCTGGGTGGTTTGTAGCTCAGCATTTCATGAGGTTGCAGTCAAGCTGTTGGCCAAGACCAGTCATGGGAAGGTTGCTTACTCACGTGGCTACTGGCAGGCCTCACTTCCTTGCCACATGAGACTCCATGAGGCTGCTTAAGTGTCCTCATGATGTGACAGCTGGCTTTCCTCAGAGTAAGTGATCTGAAAGAGTGAACAAGGAGGAAGCCACAGTACCTTTTAAGACCTACTCTCCGAAGTTGCACATCAACACTTTTGCTTTTTTCTAGCCATTCAAAGTAAGTCATTAAATCCAGCTCACACTCAAGGGGAGAGGGATCAGGCTCCACTTTTTGAAAGGCGTGTTAATTTGTGGGCATTTTAAACCACCATGGTGTTTAATATAAATATGTTCACTGAAGCAAAGTTGGAAAATATGGACACACAAAAAAGAAGAAAGCACTACTCAATGGATATTCCTTGGGTGTATATAATGCCAGGCTTTAAGATACATATATTTTCTCAAAATATAAACATACTATGTGTACTATTTTGTAAACTGCTCTTTCATTTAGCATATTGTTAAGATACTTTCATGTCAAATATTCTTTCATAACATTTTCAATGGCTGCATAACATTATATCTATGTACTAGCAGCCTGGTGCACAAAATTCATGCCTGGGTAGGGTCCCTAGGCTTGGCAGGCAATCAGAGCCAATCGGGGCCTTCAGGTTGCCGGCAGGGCCTGCCTTTGTTCCGCACTGTCCCCTGGTGGTCAGCACATGTCATAGTGAGCAATCAAACTCCTGGTCTCCTGGTCGAACTCCCAAGGGGACACTTGGCAAATTAGCCTTTTATATATACACTGAGTGGCCAGATTATTATGACCACCTGACATCTGTAGGCAAATTAGCTATAATTTCATGCTGAAGTTGCTAGAGGGCCAGACCATTATAAATAGGGAAGCGGGTTGTTTACCACGACAGAAGTGATTTTTTTCTGAAGATAACGCGATTTAACAGCCTTTGAACATGGGATATATTTGAATGTGAGTGGCCAGATTATTATGACCACCCCATCAGTGCTTTGTTGGGCCACCTTTTGCCTTCAATACTGCGGCGATTCTTCTTGACATTGACTCCACGAGATGTTGAAAGGTGATGCGAGGAATCTGACACCAACAGTGCCTGATGAATAGCACTGTCCAGTTATGTGAGATTTGATGGTTGTGGAATCAGCTGCCTGATGGCTCTTTTAACTTCGTCCTTGGATTGAGATCTGGTGATTGTGGGGGCCACCTAAGCAAGGTAAAGTCTCCCTCATGTTCTTGAAACCACTCCTGCACAATACGAGCACCGTGGCATGGCACATTGTCTTGTTGGAAGAAGCCATCCCCATTGGGATACTCCATCAACATGATAGGATGAACTTGATCAGCAATGATACTTAGGTATGCTGTGCTATTCAGACGTTGTTCCACACAAATTAAAGGGCCCAAATCATGCCAGGAAAACATGCCCCAAACCATAACACTGCCCTCACCAGCTTGAAGGGTTGTCTCATGCATGTGGGGTGCATGCTTTCATGCTGTTTCCGCCAAATTCTCACTCTGCCATCTGCATGATGCAACTGGAAACGTGATTCATTGGACCACATGACTTTTTTCCAATGCTCGACTGTCCAAACCTTGTATTCCTGTGCAAATTGGAAACGTTTTATCTTGGTAACTGCAGACAGCAAAGGTGTTTGAACAGGCCTTCGGCTTCCATATTCCATACAACGCAGTGTACGGCTAATTTGCCTACAAACATCAAGTGGTCATAATAATCTGGCCACTCACGTTCAAATATATCCCATGTTCAAAGGCTCTTAAATCGCATTGTTTACCCATATCTTCAGAAAAAAATCACTTCTACTGTCATGGTAAACCACCTGCCTCCCTATTTATAATGGTCTGGCCCTCTAGCAACTTCAGCGCGAAATTATAGCTAATTTGCCTACAAACATCAGGTGGTAATAATAATCTGGCCACTCAGTGTATATGTAGATAACATTTAATTCTATATTGTAGGGCATTTAGATTGTTTATACGTCTTTCCTATTTTACATATATTGTTAAATACCCTTACACTTAATTTCTTCTCACATATATGACTCAGTTTTTTATGTTTTTCACAATTGTTTCTTACATTCCTAGACATGGAATTTCTGGAACAGGATTTGTACAGTTTTAAAATTTCTGTTATCACTCAGCCAGTGTCGCTCAGTGGTTGAGTGTCAACCTGTGAACCAGGAGGTCATGGTTTGATTCCTAGTCAGGGCATATGCCTGGACTGCAGGCTCAGAATGGGCTCTTGATAAGTGCAGTAAATATTCTACTCAAATTAAGTAGATAACAGAAGTTTTATTTTTTAAATATATTTTTTGTTGATTTCAAAGAAGAGGGAGGGAGAGAAACATCAATGATGAGAGAGAATCATTGATTGGCTGCCTCCTGCACGGCCCCTACTGGGGTTCAAGCCCGAAACCCAGGCATGTGCCCTTGGCCAGAATTGAACCCAGGACCCTTCAGTCCACAGGCCGACGCTCTATCCACTGAGCCAAACCAGCTAGGGCCAAAGTCTTATCATTTATAAAGCTTTAATTTCTTTAAGAAGTCCTATGAAAATAAAACTTGGTTTTTCATGAAAAGGTTTTGCATTTACCCCCTGGATTCCACAAACACCCTGCTGTTGCTGGAAAGGTTGTGTTAAACTCTGCTACCTCTGGTGGAAGGGGGGAAATTTCTGATGGGCATCCAAGAAGAAATGGAGGTTCCACCTCTGCTTTCCCACCTCCATAAATTCCACCCCATCCCCAAGGACTTTCCCATGAAGCCCTCCTTGAAATGCCAGCAGCCAACTTTTCCCCTATACTGCAGAGGCTCTAAAATGTGATTGTTAAAAACATTTCATACCAACTATTACTGCAGCACAGGCCCCTGGGGCCTTGGCAATTGCTGTTCCCTCTGCCAGGAATGGTCTTACCCTTGGTAAGGCCTGGCTTGCTGCCCCACTTCAAGGACTGTGCTTCCGTCACCATCACCCGACCTGTACAGGCGCTTGTGTCTCTCCTCCCTGGATTTAAACTAAGGAAGCTGTCGTCTTGTTTCATTCGGCGCTGTCTCAACCCAGCTGGCACTTGTAGATCAGAACGTGTTTATCCGTGAATGCTACCTCAATTATGGGCACAAATCCTATAAGATATGTGAAATGGTTGAAAACGTATAGTAATGCATACACGTACAGCACGATTAACTTTTGCTGACTGGATCCGCAGACAACAGAAATACAAAAAGAACTAACTTTGTTTCGTCGATTCTTGTCTCAAGTTTTCACTTTCCCTCGGTTCATACTGCGTGCCCACACTGCCTCAAAAAATATTTATCTAAATGATTTAATGCTGAGAAACGTGAAGTAACTTGCCCCAAGGTCCAGTGGTAGTCCCGACAGAGGTCTGACTCTCAAGGTTGGATGTGACGTACCACGTTAGTCATACAAACGTTTGAAGGAAGACGCACCGGTCCTCGGACCCTTAACCAGCGACCGGTTCTAACTTACGCTAGTCTGGGACCGGCAAGTTTGCCACAGGCACTTCCGGTTTTCTAAACAGCCCCGGCGCCCAGCTCCTGACGCCAACCGCGTGCGACGAGGCGCCATCGCGTGGTCACGCTCTTTCAGTGACCTTCAGGGCCCTCGGAGACGTCGGCAAACGGAAGGGCCCTGCCTGTGCGCTGATTGGTCGCGCGCTTCCAGCCCCGCCCCCTGTCTTCCGCTCTCTCTCTCTCAGCAGAAGCCGCCGGGATCTTCTAGGAGTTTCGCACTTGCAGACACCGACCCGCTGCGCAGTTGCGATGCCGCGTGGAAGCCGGAGCCGCACCTCCCGCATGGCCCCTCCGGCCAGGTGAGGTCCTCGCGGGGCTGGGGGCTCTGTGGGCGCCGTGACGCAGGGTGGCAGGGCGGCGGCTGGCGGAGGCCGTGGACCGGGCGTCTGAAGGCCAATGCGGCGGGGGCCCGACTTCGTGGCGCCTTTGGCTAGATTCTCCCCATTAGTGGCAAGTTTTCTAATTTCGAACGCCCATGAGTTATTGCTTAAAATATTTCGTAGCTCATTTTAAGTTAAAATAGCCAAGTTGTAAAAAGTGGAAACGGGCTGAAACGTTCGAAGTAGCAAAAAAAAGTGTAGAAGAAAGGTAACAATCGGGAAGATGATCGGATTTCAATTCAGGGAATAATCTGTGAGCACCTGCCATGAGCAGTGAGCCTTTTGGGGTCTCAGCCTACGAGAGGACACAGTCACTAAGGCCCTCACGTGTACATGACGATTTCTAATTTCTAAAATACTTATAAAATGTACTGCCAGTTACACCTCATGGTAACCCTAGAGATCGGTGTTACCCCGACTTGACAGGAATAAGGAAACAGCCGACTCGGAATAAATTCCTTGTCTAAGGTCATGCCTCCGGGAAGTGGGAAAGCCAGTGACCAGTTCAGGACGTTTAGCACAGGCCCTGTGGCTTCACTGGACTGTGTTCATACAGTGTGCTAGGAGTGTGAGAAGGGGTTCGCTTGTGAAAAGAAACTTCTGTTCAAAGGGCAGATAACCATATTTTTTAAAATATATTTTTTATTGGTTTCAGAGAGGAAGGGGGAGAGAGAAACATCAATGATGAGAGAGAATCATTGATCAGCTGCCTCCTGCATGCCTCCTCCTGGGACTGAGCGGCAATCCAGGCATGTGCCCTGATGGGGAATCGAACTATGACCTGGTTCATAGGTCGGTGCTCAACCGCTGAGCCACGCCGGCTGGGCAATAACCACCTTTTTATAAAGTGAAATCATAAACTTTTGACCTGGCCTTATTTGGGGGAAGAATTTGAAAACTGGTGGGGGGGGGGGCATAATTTATATGAAGATTTTTTAAAAATAGATATTTTATTGATTTTTTACAGAGAGGAAGGGAGAGGGATAGAGAGTTAGAAACATTGTTAAGAGAGAAACATCGACCAGCTGCCTCCTGCACTCTCCCCACTGGGGATGTGCCCGCAACCAAGGTACATGCCCATGTCCGGAATCGAACCCTTCAGTCCGCAGGCCGACGCTCTATCCACTGAGCCAAACCGGTCAGGGCATGAAGATTTTACTGAAATAGTTGAAAGCATCCAACTGTCCTACAGATGGAAAATAGTTGAGGTTAATCTTGGTATAACAGTTCAGGCAAGTCACTTCGTCACTGGGCTTCAGTGTTCTAATCTGTAAAATGAAGGATTTGACCAGATTACTTCCCCAGATGACGAAGTGCAGGTCTTCATTCAAATGTTACCAGCTCAGGGAGATCTCCTTTGACTGTCCTTAAGTTATGACATCCCACAACATGCCCCCCCTCGCTCCCTATTTTTTCCTTAGCACTTGGGATGAATTCTGTGAGAATATTTTAAACTCTTAATATTTTACAATTTTTATGAAGTATTGGAAAAACTGTGTTCTTTAAAGATACTGTGGGCTATTGAATACATGGAAATGGTTGCAAAGAAGCAGGAAAAAATAGTTTATACTTAGTGGTTACAACCCACACAAAAGGTTAGAGAGAAAATGTAGCCGAAACCAGTTTGGCTCAGTGGATAGAGCATCGGCCTGCGGACTCAAAGGTCCCAGGTTCGATTCCGGTCAAGGGCATGTACCTGGGTTGCGGGCACATCCCCAGTAGGAGATGTGCAGGAGGCAGCTGGTCGATGTTTCTCTCTCATCGATGTTTCTAACTCTCTATCTCTCTCCCTTCCTCTCTGTAAAAAATCAATAAAAATATATTTAAAAAAAAAGATGTAACAATAGTTTAGGGCATTGGTCGGCAAACTCATTAGTCAACAGAGCCAAATAGCAACAGTACAACAATTGAAATTTCTTTTGAGAGCCAAATTTTTTAAACTTAAACTATATAGGTAGGTACATTGTTATTAACTTAATTAGGGTACTCCTAAGGCTTAGGAAGAGCCACACTCAAGGGGCCAAAGAGCTGCATGTGGCTCAGGAGCCGCAGTTTGCCGACCATGGGAACTTTAGGGAATTGTGTTTTGTAAAGTTTTTTTGTATGTATGTAGTATTACCTTGACAGTTTCCAAACCTGGGTTGGAAGTAGGAACTGCATACTTTTTGTTCTTTACTTTCACAGCCGGGCACCTCAGATGAGGGCTGCGCCCAGACCAGCACCAGCAGCTCACCCACCAGCACCAGCTGCACCATCTGCTGTTGGCGCACCTGCTGCTGCACCCCGGCAGCCAGGTCTGATGGCCCAAATGGCAACCACTGCAGCTGGTGTGGCTGTGGGCTCTGCTGTCGGCCACACGCTGGGTCACGCCATCACTGGGGGCTTCAGTGGAGGAAGTAATGCTGAGCCCTCGAGGCCTGACATCACTTACCAGGTAAGACTTTGGGTGGCATTGCCCTTCAGTGGTATATTTAATGAGGAAACCTAGTTATTTGTAAGTTCCTTGTGTGTAAGAACCATGTGTAAATTTAGAATCCACAATGCTGTTAAACAGAAAATGTTTTATCAAAAGCCACGCTTGGCAGTTGAGTTAGTGCCTCAGGCCAGCATCAGTAAGTACTGTATAAATTTTCTTTTTTCCCAAGATGTAGAACTCTAGTAGTTCAACCTGATTCACTGTAAAACAGCCATTTTTTTTCTTATTTTAAATATTTTGTCTTGGTTACCCTGAACTAATTCAGTCTTGATCTTTGTTTCCTTTTTTATATATTTTTATATATTTTTTTATTGATTTCAGAGAGGAAGGGAGAGAGAGATGGAAACGTCAATGAGCTGAGAGAATCATTGATCGGCTGCCTCCTGCACGCCCCCTACTGGGTATCGAGCCCGCAACCCGGGCATGTGCCTTTGACTGAAATTGAACTTGGGACCCTTCAGTCTGCAGTCCGACACTCTATCCACTGAGCCAAACCGGTTTAGGCCAATCTTAGTTTTCAAAAAAATCTCTTTAGAAGCTCTCTGCTCTCTGATCTCTTACCTGACATTTGCCACTTGCCTCTCTGAGGTTTGTGAATTTTCTCCTCTGATGAGCATGGGTGTGTACCTTGTTGTAATTGTGTTATACTTGAAACTTTCATCCACCTATTTTTCTATAGTAGTCCCATTTTTTCCTCCATGAAACTTCACTGGTCTTTAAATGCCTAGATAACCATTTTATTTTATTTGCATTTTTTTTCTTAAATCTTGCTGATTACAACTGGAATTTTGCTAAAGCTAATTTTCTGCCTTGGAAAGATCTCACTTTCCATGCTATTAGCTGAAAACTTTAATTTGCAGCTGGGTTTAGTTCTGTTTCCCAGTTAACCTCAAAGACAGTGGATACTGCTCTTTGTTCAGGGTTAAGTCTGATTTCCTTTCTAAACGTTTCTGAATGTTATGCCTTTGCAGGAGCCCCAGGGAACACAGGCATACCAGCAGCAGCAGCAGTTTGGCCCATGCCACTATGAGATGAAACAGTTTTTGGACTGTGCCCAGAACCAGGGTGACCTTAAGCTTTGTGAGGGTTTCAGCGAGGTGCTGAAACAATGCAAATTTGCAAATGGTAGGTGATATATCAATTCATGATTGAACTTGCATAGGCTCGATTTGTTTAATGGTTGTGCTCCTAGATCCTATAGAACTTAGGGAATCTGTGTTTAATAAATTAAACTGACAAATTAGAGGAGATTTTGTTAAAATTACTCTAAAGATAAGCTAACTTCTAACAAACTGGTGCAGAGATTTCTAATCATTATCTTAATCCTTTACCAGTTATGTTCTGAATCTGATTCTTCCTTCAATAGGTATAGATTAGTGTGTCGGATCTTATTAAGGATAACTGCATGTGAGTTATCTAGACTTAAGGTTATGAATACAAAATTCTGTTTTCACCAAAGTCCAGGAATGCACATAAAGACTAATATTGGCATTCTGCATGCCTTATTAGACAAGTTTATTAAGTCCCTCACCGGAATTCTGCGATTTAGGCTTTGCAGAATGTCAGCTCGTTTTCACATAATTTCCTTCCATCCACCTAAGAATACACCATCTATTAAAATGTTTATTTTTATTTCCCCCCTTCATTTTGGGTAGGATATAAGGGAGAAGTTATCCTTTCAGGTGGTTGAACTGTGGAAGTAAGAGATTGCATGTCCAAGTTTTTCAGAATTCTTTGATGAAGGGATATCCAGTATCAAACTGGCTATATTTCTGCCTCAGGACTCTGTCCCCAGAAGCACATGTGCCCTGTCTTTTCTCAGCTGTGACAAATGCAGAATGTTTTGTTGGTTATAGGATGCCCTCAATAACTTATTAAAGAAACTCTGGGTTTTTCCTCTCCTTTCATAACTGGGAGGGCTTCAGTTTTGTTAAGACTATACAGCCAGTGCTCTTCTAAATGTACCTTTTTTGTTTGCAGGATTAGCCTAACCAAGAAGGTCGCATTGAAGAAATGGGAAATCATCTCTCATGTCCAAGTTAACTTAGTATAAAAATATATAATTGATAGTGAAAGTATAAAACTACTTGTTAACTCTCCTGTGTCATTAATAGTTTCCTTGCCTCAGAATAGCAGTGGCAGTGGAAGAGAGTATACTTACTGTGTACAAGTTCATTAAGATGATAATTCAGTTTGGGGCTGAGCAGATGTTTGGCCTCCTCTAACCAACTTTTGTGATGTTTGTGAATCAGTTACAATAAAGTGATTTTCTTCTGAAATGGTGTCTGATAAATGTAAGGTAATAAATTTTAGATATAGTATATGCATCCTGAACATATGTATTTTGCAGAAGAACATAATTGTCTCAACATGTCTTTATGTTTATCTAGTTTATAGTCTCTACATGAAATTAGCATCCACCCAGAGGTCCTGGTAAAGCTCCCTGAGAAACTTTTGTAGGGAAATAGTTATGTAAGGAGTAGTTCACTAGCAAACATGTTGCCCATTAAAAAGGTTCCAGGTACTATAAGCCTTCGGAGCCAGTGTTCAATAAACTGAGCAGTAACAAGAAACTTTAAAATACTAATGTTCTAATCGGGTGAAGAGTAAGTGGGTTCCCTGTGAGCACTATTTGTCACTGTTCCCTAGACAGTGCTCGGCAAACTGGGGCTCGCGAGGCACATGCGGCTCTTTGGCCCCTTAGGAGTACCCTAATTAACTTAATAACAATGTACCTACCTATATAGATTAAGTTTACAAAATTTGGCTCTCAAAAGAAATTTCAATCATTGTACTGTTGATATTTGGCTCTGTTGACTAATGAGTTTGCCGACCACTGCCCTAGAATATCCAATTAGTTTGATCAGAGGTGAAAACCATTCTCTTAATACACGCAGTTCCCCTATAGATGTTTTTCTAATTTTAGGCATTGTAGCTCCCACTTCATGAAAGACGCAGGTGAGCTGCAATTGTCTTTAGGTGGACTCAATTTGAGGTGCACCATTTTTGCTAACCAAGCTCCAAACCTCAAAGAACTAAAAATTTTACGAGTTGATCTCCAAGTCTACATTATGCTCTCGCACTTTCTCAGTTTTTAAATGTACCTTTCATAGGTTCTGTTATCTGGTTTCCGCCCTCTTAAGTCTTAGAGACCTCTTACTACAGGGTGAGTTGATGTTGAATGAGTGAATTACTCAGTTGCTGCCTCCTGTCCTCAGCTGTTCTTGGAGTGCCCTTTTCTACCAAATCATTCAGTTCCTGAAAGGGGCCAAGACTGCCTTACCCTGAGCATCTGAATGACCACAGATAATTCACTCCTGGCGAGTCCTCTAACATAGTTCCTCCTGGGCTCGTCAGTGGTCTCCTTTGCCCATTTTCCTGGAGGCTCATAGTGTTAATTGCCCCTTATATCCAAGGTGTGATGGTCTATAGTGGGTACCCAAATATCATTAAATTAGTGAATCAAAGGACAATAAGCCAGCAATAAAATGCAAGAGTCTGCCTGGCCTGGCCTCTCTGGTAGGAACCATGGCTCCCCAGAGAAAGGCACTGGGAATGATCCTCTGGGTGCATTAGTCTTTTTCCCTAAGGTCATAAGGGATTCTGTCATGCCTTCAAAGTATAAACTAGTACAAGTCAAGTCTAGCCTAGAATCCTAAAAAAATAAAAAAGGCTTATTGACAGTAAGTAAAAGGATGAGATTGAAGTGTTTTCATCCTTGGAGCCAAAAGCTGCATCAATAAATAAGACCTTTAGGCATAAAGCTCAACGTATTTCCCCAGAGTGAAAAAGAGATGGTCAGCATGGTAGAACGGAGAGAGCACTTGGACCCACAACTGGGGTTAATCTAGGCACTTCTACTCACCTATTTTTTTTATGCTGAACAAGTCAAACATTCTCTAAAATTGGCTAATACCAAAGTTTTGGAGTCCAAGTGAAGTGCTTTGTAATATGCTAGTCAAATGGATGTTTATGGGCTCAGCTCCTGTGAAGCACATGTAGATTACCCCTCCCTTTGTTTTGTATATTAGAATTAAGGGTTTGAAAAAAGGTTGCTTTAGAATAAGGGAGAGCAATAAATGTCTACTGTGTGCCACCATGTTGTATACATTATTTCCAATTCTGTCAGCCTCTTAAGGTAGAGTCATACTCACCCAAAGAGCTCAGAGTTGCATACAGAGCCCACATGCTTTTCCTGGCACACTGAAGTCATCCCCATAGTTGCCCAGCCAACGTGGCTCAGTGGTTGAGCATCGACCTATAAACCAGAGGTCTCGGTTCAATTATATGCTAATGATATGCAAAGGCTGCTGGGGACTGAGATGGGCCAGACACGCCCTGGAGCCCTCCCACAATCCCTCCTGGTCAGGGCATATGTCTGGGTTGTAGGTTCCATCCCCAGTAGGGGGCGTGCAGGAGGCAGCCGATAAATAATCCTCATCACTGATGTTTCTATCTCCCTCTCCCTCTCTGAAATCAATAAAAAAAAAACTCTTCCCAGTAGAAACTTCAGGCTGACAACAAAATGGGTTAAGGATGAGATAATGGAGACAGATCCAAGGTCAATTCCTTGAAGGGGATGTTCCCTAACCTTTAAGGTCTGCATTTTGTGGGGCAGCCACACAAACTGTCCCTGAGCAGATCCTGATGTCCAGGTCCCAGCACTAGCGTGGGTGCACCAGTGTGCTGTTTCCTGATCACACCAAACACAGAAACGGCTCCCAGAGAAACAGGTTGGCTTTAGACCCTCTGGGCCTGGAGACCAAGTAGCTCCAGAAGGAAAATCGTCGCCTCATGCTATCACGCCTGTTCCCAGGTCACCCGAACTTCCCTCGCCCTCCACCAGAGGTCACCGCTGGAGAGACGCCCGTGCGTTGTCCCTTGCTGAGCCTTGGCCTGCATCCCGGGTTTGCTCTGGTGATTTATTTTTGGCACCTCAGCCTTCCCTCATCAAGTAGCAAAGCACGAAGGAAGAGCAGCAAAATATCCTGCTCCGGCCACAGCTGTCGGCTCAGGACACACTGCAGTCCTCTGTTGTCCCCTCTCTCCAAGGGGCTCTGGGACCTTTGAGATTCCTGTCAAGTCCACTCAAGGGCCTGCGAGGACCTAACGGTGAGTAGCTGGGCCAGTGATGGACAAAAGCCAGGCGGCAGACGGTTAGGGGGAGGCTGTGGGTTAGAGAAGTAGAAACCCCGAAGTCCATTGGACCCACTTCCCTTCTGAAGGCAGGTGGACCAGAAGAGTGATGGCATTGACTGGAGAGTTTAGAAAGTGGGTCCCTGTGACTGATTCAGACTGAGTTTTGGAAAGGACAGTATGTTCCAGAAAGGATTAAGCCTATTTGGTGACCCTTTTCAAAAGGGTTTTGGGAAGATTGTGGGGGTGCAGGTGGAGGCAGTGAACAGACGCATAAAATCAGCCCCAAGTTAGGCCTGGAGCCAAAGGAGGGAACAAGAGAAACCTCCCCAGCCCACACCAAGAGAGAGAAATGCCGTCAGAACCAGCTGGACCTGGCCATGCCGTGGAATGCATCCCCAGCCGGATGGCATCCTGGGTGGGTCCAGATGTATTCTCTGCCCGGGGAGGGCTGGGGGAGGGAAAGAGCTGGTGCTACGCAGTGTTGAGAACTTATAAGGACTTGCCAGGAAATGAACTTGATGTTACAGGGAACAGACTCTCCTGTGCTCAGTTGGGGTTGCTGACAGGACAGAAGCAGCCTGCTGCTGGCAGGAGGCTTCTGATAACCAGGCACCCAGCAGTGGGGACACCAGGCTTCCTGGAACGGCCAGCCCGAGGCCTGAGGCAGCCAGGGCTGCAGCTTGGCTGCTCAGCAAATCAGCCCCTGTGACAAGCCAGGCCTTGTTGGGCCCAGAAAAGGCAGGAGATATGGGACTAGAAGAGTTTGGGCCCTGCTCAGTGGCAGCTTGTGCCCATTTTCTGTCTGCTGTTCTTCCTGTTGGTGGATGACTTTCTCCATTCCTCAAACCCTTCATCCAAGGTCAGTACCCGGAGCTTAGCTCCTCTGTCCAGGCCTGAATGTCCTGGCTCTGTACTGCCCCACACTGTGGCAGGACCACTCAGGGCTCACGGGCCATCGCTAGTAGGACATGGGCCATTCTGCTGACAGACCCTGCACCAAAAGAATACCTCCACCATCAACTCACCTTCCGGGAGCAGCTCCTGCTATGTGCCTGCACTGGATACATACAGAGGGGCAGGATGGCTGGGACGGGGACATCCTAGACAAGATCACAGCTTAATGGGGGACATGACAGCACACACTGACAAGTGATAGCGGAGGCTGGGACCAGAATTCCCCCATCAAGCTCTGCATCCCTCAGGGCATCTGGCACAGTGCTTTTCAAAGAATATAAAAGGATGAAGGCATGAAAGATGGTTATGAAGGTCCAGGGTAAAGACAAAATGAGTGAGGAAGGAGCATGTTCTGAAAGAAGGGGCGTTTTCAGGGTCAGACAGGACTGGGGTAGATAAGGACAGGCTGTAAGAGCAGCATAGTAAGAAGATGAAATTGTGCGGCTTCGCCGAACCGGTTTGGCTCAGTGGATAGAGCGTCAGCCTGCGGACTCAAGGGTCCCGGGTTCGATTCCGGTCAAGGGCATGTACCTTGGTTGCGGGCACGTCCCCTGTGGGGGGCGTGCAGGAGGCAGCTAATCGATGTTTCTCTCTTATCGATGTTTCTAGCTCTCTATCCCTCTCCCTTCTTCTCTGTAAAAATTCAATAAAATATATTAAAAAAAAAAAAAAGAAATTGTGTGGCTTCTACCTTTTCCACAAGTGCAGAGAGCAGGCAGAAGTAAGCAGGACCAGCCTTATGTCCTCAAAGAGGAAAGGAAGCCACTTTACTTTGCCCTCTGGAGAGGTTGTCTGTGGTTCTGTCTAAATTTATTTTTATTGATTAATTTTAGAGAGAGAGGGAGGGAGGGAGAAAGACATAGATTTGTTGTTCCACATATTTATGCATTCATTGGTTGATTCTTGTATGTGCCCTGACCAGGGATTGAACCCACAACCTTGGCATATTGAGATGATACTCTAACCCAGTGGTTCCCAACCTTTTTTGGCCATGCCCCACCTAAGCAGCTCTAAAATCCTGATCCTCCCCCCACCCCCGTGACATATAATTCTTATTATTTAAAAAGTGAACTATTCATGTGAAGGAAGCCTAAAAGGCCATTAACTTGGTCTAAAACAAGTTTCCAAAGAACATGGCATCCATGAAAGAGAAAAATGAAAGAACGAAAGGACAGTTGAAGTACTGAGGTAATCACTAAGAAATTGTTAAAAAATAATAATATGAAGTGATATGAAAAATAGCAAATAAAGTTTCAAAAATATAATAGGGAACTGAAATGCATAACTAGGTCACAATATACATTTATAGACTGTATATGAGGCCCCTAGAACCATAAGAAATGCAAAAAAGTCACTGTCAATAACTCATTCTCCAATTGCCCCTCTTAAAAATCAAATTGCCCCCCCTGGGAGGCATGTGGCCCACTTTGGGAACCACTGCTCTAACCAAATGAGCTAACCAGCCAGGGCCTCGGTAGTTCTAAAATCAAGGCTGTGCCGGCCTCCTCAGAGCTAAGCTTGGGTCCCGATGTCCCCGCAGGCCTGGGCCTGGCTGCCCATCCCCTCCCCCAGGGGGAGCAGCTTACAGTGAGAACATGCAGGGAAACATGGTCGCCTGGACTCGTAAGAGTTTACAGCCAGTGGGAAGAACGATGCTCGACTCTTTTCAAAGCATTTTTTCAATTCTCAAACATTCATTTTGAACATTCACAATAGTCCAGCCCTGTGCCAGGCGAGACAAAAATGCGTGAAAACTGGTTCCCACCCTCAAAGAGCACATCCCCCAAGCCGGGAGCGCTGACAGCATCTTTCTGTTCCCTCTCAGAGCCCTTCAGAACCACCCCAAGGAGCTGAGCATGACATGGGACGAGGCGCAGCTGGACTCACATTCCACAGAGGGTTTCTATGAGAACTATGAGCCCAAGGAGATCCTGGGCAGGTAAGGCCCAGACCTTTTCCAGGAAACGCTGTCCTAGGCTCCAGCCGCTCTGCCAACCTCTGGGCCAATCTCTGCTGGACCCTGGGCACCCAGGCCATTTCCACCCCTCAGTTTGGGTCCTCCCCTCCTGACCAGGAAGGTAAGGTGCGAGGACCCAGATCAGTGACCTCTCCTGGCAAAGAGCTTCCCGCAACCCTGACTGACGCTGGTGACAAGCACATCCAAACCCAGCTTTGGGCCAGGGTCAGAGATCAGGGGTCAAAGGAAGCTAGGGCCTTGAGAGTGTACGGCCTTTCTATGTGTGAACGAACACTGAACTGGGAGTTATGAGGCCTGAGACCAGGCTTGTGACTCATCAGCACCCCACTTCTCCCAAAAGCTCACAGGGAGTTGGGGGACAAGGCAGGACATCTTTGCTGTGGCCTGGACTTGGGGCACCCGCTGAGAACTCCTGTCCTCTGCACCCCCAGGGGAGTTAGCAGTGTCGTCAGGCGCTGTATCCACAAGCCCACGCGCAAGGAGTATGCTGTGAAGATCATTGACGTCACCGGCGGGGGCAGCTTCAGCCCCAAGGAGGTGCAGGAGCTGCGAGAGGCCACGCTGAAGGAGGTGGACATCCTGCGCAAGGTGTCAGGGTACCCCAACATCGGTGAGTGCTGGCTCCCAGCCACAGCGGGGAGCTCCACCTTGCTTCTGCCCTGAGAACCCAAGTCAGGGAGTGCAGCCCACCATGCAGCTAGCCAGAATTGTCCAGGGTGTCTCCTGCACCCTGAGGCCCACTGGCCCAGTTCCTGAGGCTTGAGGTTCCCAGCTCCAACCTCCAGGAAGGCTGCTCCGGGGACTCAGCTCGAAGCCTCCTCTCCCAGCCAGACAGAAAGGGGCACCGGCAGGTCTGGGACTGGGTGAGGGCGGGGGAGTGGGGTGTGAAGTCACTGGGCCTGCCCCCTCCCCTGGGGGGCCTCCTTAGAGTAGCATCCAGATACCCCCTTCATTTGTGCAGTCGGCCCCAGCAGCTTTCCTCCCCCTGCCCCTAGACCCCACTGCCTCTGCCCAGGCTCCTCTGCTCCCTGAGGCAAGCCAGCCATTTCCATTTCAGTACAGCTGAAGGACAATTATGAGACCAACACTTTCTTCTTCTTGGTGTTTGATCTGTAAGTACCCAGCCCTGGAGCCAGCCATACCCCGAGGCTCATCAGAGAGCTTCCCATTGTGGTCTCCCCTCCAGCAGCCAGCCCGCTACACACACTGTAGATGCCAAGTAGGATCACAAGTGCTTTAGGCAGGTCAGCCCCTGGGGTCAGGCTGCCCGGCTTTGAATCCTGGGTCCACCACTTACGGGCTGGAGGCTTTCTTTCTTTATCTTGTTAATCCTCACCCAAGGATACTTTTTGCCAGTGATTTTTAGAGAGATTGGAAGGGAGGGAAGGATTGGAGAAGAGGGAGAGGGGGGTGGAATGTGAGAGAGACACGACTGGCTGCCTCCCACATGCACCTGACTGGGCCAGGGAGTGAACCCACAATTCAGAGACGTGCCCTTGACTGGGAATCAAGCCTGAGACCCTTGGGCTGATGCTCTATCCACTGAACCACACTGGGCAGGGCATTATTGCCCTTTTTTGTTAGAAAAGGTTCCCAGCAAAAAGAATTCCCCGGCTCATTGCTTCCCCACTCCACCCAGTCCTTGTTGAAAAACAGAAATCTCTCTGCATGGCTCACTGTTAAAGGGGTGTCTTGATTTCTCCCTATATAACAGCTAATTTAGGGACTGGGTTTCTTGAGAAAATTATTCAGGTAAACTTTGTATTGTTGGAACGTTTCCTATTGTGGCCCTACTGTGGTTTTGCTTGGAGAAACACGTAACTTGGCCTGTGTGTACAATTAAACGGCCGGCTCCAGAAGGCAGAGCCTGCTCATGTACCTTGCACAGTCCCCAGTACTTACAGGTAAACCTGCTGCTGGTGCTGCTGCTGCTATTGCTAATAGTGAGTTCACCTAGTGTCTTTAAGTTGAAATTAAAACAACAAAAATGGGACTCACATGTTGCTTTTTGTGAACACAGTACAGATAGTGTATAAAGCAAGGCTTATATCTGTGAATTCTAGGTTGTTTCTTCAAATGGAACCCCTCTCCCTGCCCTAGCAGCTAAGCTCAATGGTTTTCTTGCCTCTCTGGGACTCCAGCAACATCCCTTGTGCCCTAGGAATCCAACTGCTTTCCCTGGAGGAGCGGGTGAGAGGGGGCAGGATGCACCTTTCCTATTTAACACAGGGAGACTTTCCCAGGGACCCTCCAGACTGGACCAGCCGCAGCTGTCCCAGCCCCGCTCAGTGGCCCTGTCCTTGGGGGCAGCTCAGATGTCCCTAACCTTTGAAGAAGTTACTTGGGGAATCTATTTTTAATGCTGCCCCAAGTTGCCCTCCAGGTTATGACTAGATTTTTCTAACGGACACCTCTTTATAGAGCATCCCAAGAAGTGAGAAGATTGAACTGCAATTCTTAATCCTAACAGGCACAACTGCTCCTCCAACACTCAACACTCATTCCATTTGTGCCTGAAAAATATCAGGATACTCCTGTCCTTCTGTTTGGGGTCTGGGCCCTTGGGCCAGGAGGGCTTTCGGCCAGTTTTTCATCTCCCAGCCCTTGATTTTGGCCCTGATAGATCTGTCCATGCTGTCACTCCCACAGATGGGAGAGACCCTCACACTGATGCCATACCACCCCTCCAGCCTCCCTTGCTCTTGTTCCAATCTTCCCAGACAACCTCTCCACTCACTTCCCAGCTCCTCCCTGCAGACCCTGGTCCTTTGCCTCTGGAGGGATTGGGGTGAGGAAGAGCTCTCTGGGAGCAGGCTAAGAAGGGGGTGGTCTTGAGATCAATCCAGCTACAAACCCTCTGTCACCACAGGATGAAGAAAGGGGAGCTCTTTGATTACCTCACTGAGAAGGTCACCCTGAGTGAGAAGGAAACCAGGTGAGGGTCCACGTGCCCCTCTCCCCACTCCCTGCCCAAGCCCGTGCGACAGGCACCCAGGTCCCGGAGGGTGTGCACTGCTGGGTTGTGACCTCCCTCCCTGGCTCAGTCCGACCGTCCCAGCCGCCCTCTCTCCTGTGCAGTCGGCCTGGTATGTGGGCTTTGGTCTCCCTCCCCGCCACCTGACCCTGCAGAGAGCAGAGTGACACGCTCCTGTCCCACCCCAGGAAGATTATGAGAGCCCTGCTGGAGGTGATCTGCACCTTGCACAAACTCGACATCGTCCATCGGGACCTGAAGCCCGAGAACATCCTCTTGGACGATGACATGAACATCAAGCTCACAGACTTTGGCTTTTCCTGCCAGCTGAAGCCAGGAGAGAAGCTACGAGGTCCGGTAACGAGGCCTGGCTTTCTCACCAACTCTCCCAGGAACAGAGATTGCCCAGGACCTTCCCCTATATCCCCCCAGAATAAAAATCCTATCATTTCAGGGTTAGGTGCCTTTTCAGGCAGGTCCTCTTCTCAGGACCGAGTTGAGCCAGGTTCCCACGGCCTGAGTTCTAGGCCAGAATAGTTAGATGTGACCAGGGAACCAACAGGCCCCAAGTGGGTGGCCCTACGAGCCAGCTCTGGCCCCTGCCCTTGGCCCTGAAGTTGGCCAGTGCTAGGCGAGTCCCAGTCCAAGCACTATTTCTGTTCCATCTTGTTTCTTCGGACCTTCTTCTTCCAAGTTCCCCCTGCTGACCTATCCTGATGGTAACTGTTCCTGCAGAGATCTGTGGGACCCCCAGCTACCTGGCCCCCGAGATCATTGAGTGCTCCATGAACAGTGACCACCCGGGCTACGGGAAGGAGGTGGACATGTGAGTGTGCTGGGGGGAAGGGACAGGGATGCCACCATGGCCGGAACACCTGGCTGGGGAGGGGAGGAACTGGCCGGAGCTACAGCCAGTCCGCCTGCCTTCCTCCCACCCACCTGGTGACAGGTGGAGCACAGGGGTCATCATGTACACCCTGCTGGCTGGCTCCCCGCCCTTCTGGCACCGGAAGCAGATGCTGATGCTGAGGATGATCATGAGCGGCAACTACCAGTTTGGCTCACCCGAGTGGGATGATTACTCGGACACCGTGAAAGACCTGGTGAGGGGCCAGGCCCGCTGGCTCCTGGGCTCAGGCGAGGGGCAGTCCACCACGGGAAGGAGGGGAGTGTGCCAGGCACAGGGTGGAGGGGTCTGCGAGGAGACCCCACGGCTTCTGAAGCGCTGGCAGGGAGCCTGCCTTGCTGTTTTCACTACCCACCCCGTTCTCTCAGGTTTCCCGCTTCTTGGTGGTGAACCCCCAGGGCCGCCTGACGGCAGAAGAGGCCTTAGCGCATCCCTTCTTCCAGCAGTATGACGTGGAGGAAGTGCGGCACTTCAGCCCCCGGGGCAAGTTCAAGGTATTGAAGCTCCCTTCCCATCCAGGGCCCTGGAGCCCAAGCCCCCCAGGGACCGCTACTCACACTACTTACAGGCTAGGGTTTCCAGGGCACCTGCCCTCCCCCTCTCATCCACCCATGATGGTTCCCAGAACTCTGGCTCCAGGGAAGACAGATGTCCTCTGACAGTCTAAATGCCTGCTAGTACTGGTAGGGCAGGAACTGGGGGAACACTGGGAAGGACCCAGGGGGCGCTCCAGGCTCTCAGTCCTGGCCCTCCCTCGGCAGGTGATCGCTCTGACAGTGCTGGCTTCAGTGCGGATCTACTACCAGTACCACCGGGTGAAGCCTGTGACCCGGGAGATCATCATGCGTGACCCCTATTCCCTCCGGCCTCTGCGCCGGCTCATCGATGCCTATGCTTTCCGAATCTACGGCCACTGGGTGAAGAAGGGCCAGGAGCAGAACCGGGCTGCCCTCTTTGAGAACACACCCAAGGCTGTGCTGCTCTCCCCGGCTGAGGAGGACTACTGAGGTGCTGGCAGGAGGGATGCGGGGGAGGGGGAGGCAGGGAGGGGAAGCCACAGAAACACTCGTCAAAGAAATGAGGTTGTGCAGAGAAGGCATTGGTCCAGGCCAGGACCGCTGGACCTGGGCCACTCTCCCCTCAGAGGCTCTGCACAAGCGAAAGGCACTCCCATCACAATGCAGTTGGGGCCTGGGCACAAAGGAGGGCACTGGATGTGGTCTGACCGCCAGGAGCCTTCCGGCTTCTCCACCTCCCAGTGGTACCACCATCTCAGTGTCTGCTCAGGGGAGGCCCAGAGTTACTGACCCTCGGATGCACTTCCCTTAGGGTCCCAGGGTGAGGAGAAAACAGACAGCCGTCTGAGATATACAATCACGGGGGATTTTACTGACCTCACAATGTCCAGTGACACCATGGGAGCAGGTCCTTCTCCAGGGGACAGGTTTCCAGAGGCATAAGGAAGCCCTTGCATAATTAACAACAGAAAGGGACACTTCTCATGTTTGTCTTTCTGGAGTATCATTTACTTTGTGACTCGCAGGAGGCACAGTTTGGCCTGGTTAATACCCTGTTCTCCTAGGCCAGCGGTTCTCAACTGGTGGGTCGCGACCCCTTTGTGGGTCGAATGACCCTTTCACAGGGGTCGCCTAAAACCATCGGAAAACACATATATAATTACGTATTGTTTTTGTGATTAATCACTATGCTTTCATTATGTTCAATTTGTAACAATGAAAATACATCCTGCATATCAGATATTTACATTACGATTCATAACAGTAGCAAAATTACAGTTATGAAGTAGCAACGAAAATAATTTTATAGTTGGGGGTCACCACAACATGAGGAACTGTATTAAAGGGTCGAAGCATTAGGAAGGTTGAGAACCACTGTCCTGGACCCTTTGAAGACTGAATTGCGCTTTAAAGAGCCCACATTTCTCCATTTCACATACAGAGAGCGGAAATCAAGTGCCTTCAGAGGCACACAGAAACACTGTACAAATGAAGGCAGCATCTCCTTTCCACAGCAATTTGCTGGGAAAACAGAGAGGTGGGGAAATTCTGCCCTAAGAAACAATGTCAGGTCCCTGAATCAGACACTGAGAAAGGGGAAGGGAACTGACTTAAAAGGATTTTAACACACTGCCTTTAAGAGGACGCGCCCCAATTGTTTGAGTACTTGGCCCCTGTATAGTTGATATTTGACCTCTAATAAAAACACCCAGCTCCTGGCCACAATCAGTGCGTTGGGGCCCTTCACCAAGAGACATGGCCTCCTCTGAGGCGAGAGGTCTCTCCCGCCCACCTGCCACCAAGTGAGAGGTGCCCGTCAAAAGGGGCAGAGGAGGAGAAGGTGGAAGTTGAAGAGCTTGGCTGTTTGAAATGTGGCCAGTGAGTGGCATGGGTACTACGGAGCACTCTTCGTGGCTGCGTGGCTGCTCACAGCTCCCCAGGCAGTCGGCCTATATTGGAAGCACAGCGGAAGCCTAGGTTGTCAGACGCTGAATCTGGAGTGTTGCCCATCCTGCCACCAGAGAAGGGGAGAGAGAATGAACATGTTGAGAAAGGGGCCTTGGGCCTTACCCAACTTTCCTGTTCCACCTCCCAGGGCCTGCTGAGACCTGGGGGGCCCAAGGACTGTGGAGGGCGTGGTCTGGAAAGAAGCCTGGTCAGAGGGCAGTCCCGGGGACATGAAGCGGCCTTGGGGCTGGGTGGAGGAAGTGACGGTGGTCCTGAGAGACTGAGCTGGAAGGCAGGAGAGGCCATGACTAGCACCTGTGACTGTTGGTGGTTAGGAATAACTCAGCCGGAAAAAAACCTGTTGGCAGTTAGTGAGAGTATCACAGTGCCAGTCAGCTCTCCATACTTTTCAAAAAAGTTTCAAGTGAATTCTCTCGCTTACCATTTCCCAACTGCTATGGAAGGCAAGATGTGTTCACCATTTTAGAGACCCAGGAGCAGATACTAGAAAGAGTTAAATGTCTTGCCCAAGGCCAACTACTGTTCCAACAGCACAACAGAATCAATGTCAAACCCAGTTTCCTGGTTCTAGGCCAGTACTTTTCTACCACTTTGTCCTAAAAAAGAGAGAATTCAGGGGCCTTTGTGGGTCAAAGAAACACCTGCAAATCTGATATCCTGAGTGGCCTCTACAGTCCTTATGGAGCCAAAGAGTAGGAGTTGCAGGGAGATCAACCAAAATAAATCTACTGGCAAATGAAGCAGGAAGTCCTAGCAGGGGACCAGCAGCCTAGGATGCTTCCATCCAGGTGCCACCACTAACCACCTGTCTGAAATGAGCAGGTCCCAGGACCCTCCTGGGCCCATTTTTAACTTGACTGTAAATCAAAATGGTTGTAGAAATGATTTTCCATGTGCCCGCCTGTTTGAAGAGTCAATGTTTCCATGACCCATGGCCATGACCTATTGATGTGGCCATTCTACTTCCCTCCCTCCGCACACCTACTTATGAGGACAAGAAGAGAAGCCCATGTAACTGAGATGCTGGACACAGAGTCTCCCTGGGTGTGAGAGCTGAGAAGAAAGGCACAAGCTGTCCTGGACTGTTTTCTTTTTCCTGGCAAGCGCTACCTGCTTCCTTTTCAGTACCCACATCTCCTGGTGCAAGTAGAGATGCAGAAGGAGTGCCAACACCAGTTGTGGTGCCACCTGTGCTCTGTGAGGTCACCTCCAGCCCCTCAGCCCTCAGCTACCAAGCTCCTCACCTGGTGGTGACCCGGGCCCGGTGATTGGCAGAGCCATCGGATGTGTCGATCCAGGATGCCCCCCGGAGGACACGCATATCCTGGTTTGCACCCTGGTATGGTGAAGCTGTCCACTCCCACACGTTGCCCACGAGGTCATAGAGCCCTGCAGCACAGCAGGGGGTCAGTTCCCTGCTGGGAGGCATCATGCCTGCCTGTGAGCCATCAAAGCCCTGGGAGCAAATGCTGCCCCAGGTGCTTCTCTCTGCCTCATCCATCAGGCAGAATGCTCCCACCAGCCACGTGTGAGTGTTGATGGCGACCGATAAGAAATCTTACCATAGTTATTCTGTGGGGGGAACGCGTTCACTGGGGAGACCCCATGGAAGCCGTCCTCAGCCTTGTCACCCTTGGGGAACTTTCCCTGAGAAGAGATTTAGGATAAAAGATTTGCCATCCTGTCCCATGGCAGGTGTTCCTGCCTGCCCACAGGGAAACCAAGGTCATCTGGAATAGGGGGAAGGGCACGTGGCAGTGACCCGAGGTTCCCGACCTGAGCTCCCAAACCAGCTGCCTCAGGTCCTCCACCAGGACCTCCAGCTGGATCAGGAAGTGTGTGGTTTCCCTGTGCTCACTGTGGTCCGCGTCAAGCCCATCCCACTCCCACTGTCTCCATTCTCAGAGACTTCGTCTCCTCGGCCTCGAGCCCCATGCTCGGAGCCTCGGGAAGAAAGCCTCTTCCTCTCCTTCTCCATGCCCTGCACCCTCCCCCTTCTCAGGAACCACCTCTTTCTCTTCTACCACCAACAGGTTTAACTCTGCCTCATCTGCCCTGACTCTACCTTTCTCATCTCTCGCTCTTTACCACCAAAACTCTTCAAAAAGTAACCTATATTTGCGAATGCAATTTATTTAACTTGTTCACGCCTCTCATTAAAATTGGGTTCAGCTGCCACGATTCTATGGAAATTGCTCTTATGAAAGGGAAGATGAAGGGGCTATAATTTACTCAACACCTACTATGTGCTAAGGCTGCTACACTTACGTCTTTTAATTTAATCCTTGCAAGGTTGTGAGGCAAGTATCCTCTCCCTTTAAGGAACTAGCAACTGAGGTTCAAAATGGTTAATTTATCAAAGATCAAACAGGGTATGTCAGATTTCTCTTTCTGCAAAGCTCTGATCCCAAGATCATCTGAAAGGTCCAGTCTCCCTCTCAGGCCCCTGTCAATGCTTCCCCCTAAAATACTGAGGTTGTGCTCCGCTCACTCTACAGCGTCTCCTGGCCAGTGTGGGAGGGCGGGATCATTCTTTCCTAAGGTAAATGCTTATGACTCGCAAGCTACTTGCTCTGACCCAGACTTCTGTCCTAAGTTTCAGACTCATATTTTCAACCTCTGACTGAACATATAAAAGACCCAAAGGCATCCTAAGCTAAGCTGATCCTACCCTGACCAAGTTCTGTCCCTCTGACCCAACAAGCAGATTATCTATTTGGATAATGGTGGCACCATCACTCTGTTGCCCAAGCTTGGATTCATGCTTGAGTCCAACTCTCTTCCACCCCACCACATTCGATTAATTACCAAACCCTGTCCATCTTCTCAGACATGCCTCTCCCATTGGGCTTCCTCTCTATTCCACTTCCACTTAATTCAAGTGTTTATAATCACCTAGACACCCCTTGCCACCTCTGCAGCTCTGCTTCATCTAGTCCTGCATAATTAGCAAGAGTTAGCTTCCCCAAGTCAACATCTGATATTGTTACTCCCCTGTATAACAACCTCCATTGGCTCCACACTGCCTAGCCTAGAGGGTAAAATCTAAAACCCTATCTTGGCGCATCTACTCCAAAATCTGCCTCCAACCCACTGTCTACTTCATCTCCTAACACCCCCTGGACCCCCACCATTTCCCTGTGCTCCAGTCTCTCTGAATTTGGCATGTTTCCAAACAGACAGTACCCTTTCCTAATACAATGCCAGCACGCATGGTGTTGTGCTTGACAACACCCTTTCCTCCTCTTTTCACTTAGCAAAATCCTATTTGATCAGCTCAAATGTCATCTCTGAACTCTCAGGCAACGAATGATGTCCTCCTGCGCACACTCTGCACCACCGCCTTGTCTCCGGCTTCGCCCCTTTCCAGCTTTAGGACACAGCCCTCTGAATCCCACACCTAACACAGTGCCCAGCCGACAGCAGGCCTCAATGCTCCGAGAAAGGACAGGAGTGAGGAATGCATGTCTTACCTGCCACAGGTTGGTGCGGTTTGGCTGGAACTTGTTTCCCCAGGGATAAACCTGACCTGCGGGAGAGCAAGGAGAAAGCATTGGGGGGAGAGGTGAAGAGTTGGGAAAGAGAGCGAGGGAACCGAAAGGAGATTATTTTTATATCCCATGCCCATCCCTTCCACTCACTGCATTGCATTCGGAGCCCCGCCTCCTGCATTACCCCAGGGCAGTGCAACCCTAGGTGTGGTTCTGATCAATGCCTCTGTAAACCACCTGTGACCAGTGCATGTTGAGATCAGTGCAGAAATTAAGAGTAACCATTGATAAACTTGTTCGTTGGACTTCGATTGGCTAAATAAACAAGCAACCTCATTTATCACATTAATAACTTTGACTATTGGTATAGTTGGTGTTCAAACTGTAGAGGCTGGATATGGTGAATTGCTATTTCACTCTCATAACTTTTTTAAATGAGCATTGCAGAACAACTAAGTTATGAGCAAAGAGCAATTTTTTATATTAACCCCTATACATCCATGGAAAAGGCATGTGGTTTGGATAACTCTTCTCTTCTCTATGCTATGTTGGTCCAACTGTATTTTTTGAAACATGACATCTCTGTAGAATCTCCAACAATAAAAAAAAATTGTTTTTTTCATTCCATTTTTTTAGTTATTAGTTTTTATGGTATTTTAAATAAATACCATATTTTACATAGGTCTGAGGTAGATGAGAAATAAAAATAACAACAGCAGCTGGTCCTTCACTGCTCTAGGGAGCATGAGCCCTTCCCACCCTTTAAAGACCCCCATGCAGGGCAGGATAGAGAGCAGAACAAAGGGGAATCGCCTTGGTAGCTCTATACCCTTTAAGCCCCCTCGGGCCGCAAACTCCCACTCTTCCTCAGTAGGCAGCCGTTTCCCCTGCCATGCACAGTAGGCCCGCGCATCATTCCAGCTCACGTGTACCACTGGGAGCTCCAGTCTCTCTCGGATGCCAGAGCCGGGACCTGCGGGCTGACAGCCAGGAGGAAATGAGACAGGCTCTGGGAGCTCAGGGAAGTCTGAGGAAGGCTAGGCTTAGGGCACCTAAGTTCAGCTTTTAACACTAGGGGAAGCAAAGAAATTGGAAGAGAGCTTGGTGAGTGAGGAGAGGTCCAGAACGAAGAGACTACACATGAGACTGACAAGAAAAATGGGATGGGTGATGGGAAGAGGACTAGGGAACAGGTGTCTTGGCTGTTTTCCTGAAACTTCTCCTTTTAGCTCAGTATTCCTAGATGGGCAAGGGGGCTAGGGAAGCCAACCCGCCAGGGGTAGAAAACAAGGTGGAGGAACCAACCCTTACCTGCCTCCAGAAAGCCCTTTCCACTGGAAGCCACCAGAGAACAGGCTACAAAGAAGAAAGAGCATGACTGCAAGATGCTCGAACCCACCATGTGCACCCTCCCGACTGACACACAGGAGGCGGAGCAGACCCTTCAGGCCAAGACTCAGGGCGTCCAAGTGAGGCTGTGTCTGGAGTCTCTGAAGCCTGACACCTCACGGCCCTCATTAGAGGGAGGCCTGTCAGGACGTTCTGCTTGTGCAGGATGTATCTTGAGCCCCATGTGTATCTATCTGGGTCTTTACAGTCTCTCTACCCAGAAACCAGCTCAGCGGTCCCTTCCTGGGAGGAAGTATTCACCGGACCCTTCCAGGGAGGGCTTCTCTCGCTTCCTCCCTGCCTCCCGCTCTCAGGTCTGATGTCTACCGTGGCCCAGGTGACCCCGCGCCCCACATGCCTCTATGTCCAGGTCCCACTGCCGTTCCCTCAGCTCCAAGCCCAGGTTTTCTCACCTTCATTTGCTGAGTCGCTTTGTTTCTAAGCTCATCTGAGACAAAGTCCTCAAAGACAAAGCTCCACCCAAACGTCTCGGCCTCTGTCCGGTACTTTTTCTCCCTGACAAACTCCCTGCAAAGAGAGATTTCGCTTGGCTCAGCTGAAAGGGTTCTGTGCTCCACCCTCACCTTTCCTGCTGCTGAAAAGCTCACCTAGCCTCATCCTGTAAGTCCCACATCACAGAGGTCCCATGAACTCCAAGGAATTCACCTGAAACCCTGAGCAGGAGATTTTCTTTTAAAATCTGTTGCTATAAGGTCCCAGGTTTGATTCTGGTCAAGGGCACATGCCGGTTTGTGGGCTCGATCCCCAGTGGGGGACTTGCAGGAGGCAGCTGATCCACGATTCTCTCTCACCATGGATGTTTCTATCTCTCTCTCCCTCTTCCTTCCTCTCTGAAATCAATAAAAAAATATTTTTAAAAAATCTGTTGCCGCCGAAACCGGTTTGGCTCAGTGGATAGAGCGTCGGCCTGCGGACTGAAGGGTCCCAGGTTCGATTCCGGTCGGGGGCATGTACCTGGGTTAGGGGCACATCCCCAGGGTGTGTGCAGGAGGCAGCTGATCGATGTTTCTCTCTCAGTGATGTTTCTGACTCTCTATCTCTCTCCCTTCCTCTCTGTAAGAAATCAATAAAATATATTTAAAAAAAAAAATCTGTTGCCGTGTGTGTAATTCACATACAGTAAAATTGTTTTTTTTAGTGTATGCTTTTGTGACTTTGACAAAGCATACAGTCATCACCACAATCAAGAAACAGAGCAGTTTCATCAAACATACCCCAGATTCCTCTGTGCCCGTTTTTTGTTCCTATGGTTTTGTCTTTCCTGGCATACATACTTTCACATAAATTGAACTATACAGGATGTAGTTTTTGGGCCTGGCTTCTTTCACTTAGCATAATGCTTCTGAGATTCATCCATGTTGTCAAAGGTATCAGTAGTTTGTTCCTTTGTATTGCTGAGTAGTATTTCACTGTATGGATGTACCATATTTGGTTTACTCATTCACCAACTGCAGGTCATGTGGGTTATCTCCAGTTTTTAGAGATTATAAATAAAGCTGCCAAGTAGATTTAAGGGTGGGGAATGGTTTCCTTTCTGAAAGGTCTTTCTTACATACCTAATTTCATGAGAGGGAGGCAGAACAGGTGTTATCATCTCCATCTAATAGAATAAAGAAACTGAGTCAAATAAAAATAAGTTGCTGAAAAAACAAAAACTAAAGAAAAAAATTGAGTTGCTGAGATTTTAGAATATATTTTCATATAGCTCGGTATGGTTTAGCAAATCTCAGCACACAGATTACTAAGGTGAGATGGATGGTTTTCATTATCACCTCGTCTGTGCCAGCCCTCTGATATAAGAAGGTATTATTGCCCAGCCGGGTGTGGCTCGGCGGTTGAGTGTCAGCCCGGGAACCAAGAGGTCACCGGTTCGATTCCCGGTCAGGGCATATGCCTGATTTCAGGCTCGATCCCCAGTGGGGGGTGTGCAGGAGGCAGCCGATCAATGATTCTCTCTCTCATCACTGATGTTTCTATCTCTCTCTCCCGCTCCCTTCCTCTCTAAAATCAATAAAAATACATTAAAAAAAAAAAAAGAAGGTATTATTCACCCATCAGAGGGCATTGAGATCATCTGAAAAGCTTGAGAATCTTTTATCAGAGAGGCAGACAAAGTCGGGTGGTTCTAAGCAAAGTTTAGGGGCTTACTAGAAGTGACATTATATTTCTACCATACACTAACTAGGTCAATGGTCGGCAAACTGCGGCTTGCGAGCCACATGCGGCTCTTTGGCCCCTTGAGTGTGGCTCTTCCATAAAATACTGACTTCTGTGCATGGGCCACAAAGTTTCAATCGCACTGTACATGTGCACCCGCACATGATATTTTATGGAAGAGCCACATGTGGCTCGCGAGCCGCAGTTTGCCGACCACTGCACTAAGCATAACTTGAAATCTAAAAGGTGCATACTGTGCAGCTATCTATTTTGGGTTGTCATGATATGGTACAAGTCTGATCAGAAGTGATTTCTCAATTTTAACAATTTTCCTGTTTAAAAATATGTTTTAAAAGCACATATAAGCGCCCTAGCTGGTTTTGCTCAGTGGATAGAGCATCAGCCTGGGGACTGAAGGGTCCCAGGTTAGATTCTGGTCAAGGGCACATGCTTGGTTTGTGGGCTCGATCCCCAGTGTGGGGCATGCAGGAGGCAGCCGATCAATGATTCTCTCTCATCACTGATGATTCTCTCTCTCCCTTCCTATCTGAAAAAAAAAATTAATAAAAGCACATATAAGTAGTACGCGTGGTATTGTAGAAAAATGAGGAAATTTAAAATCATCCATTATCACACTAACTAATATGTATCATTCCATATTCTTCCTGGCCCCCACTCCCCAACCCTCCCACCCTGTTTAACAAGGTGCTTCCCTGTAATTATTGTCATTTGGAAGTCACAAAAACATGGGTAAAATCTGTTAACTAATGCACTTCCACTTTTTTAATGCATATACATTCTATATACATAGTTTTAAAAAATGGGATCATAAGCTATATATTATTTTGTAAGCTACTTTCTTGACTTAACATCTCATAACTCTTTTTAAATATATATGTTTTAATATATTTTTATTGATTTCAGAGAGGAAGGTAGAGGGATAGAGAGATAGAAACATCAATGAGAGATGAGAAAGAAACACTGAACAGCTGCCTCCTGCACACCCCCTACTGGGGATGGAGCCTACAACCCGGGTATGTGTCCTGACAGGGATTCGAACCACTGAGCCACACTCAACCACTGAACCATACTGGTTGGGCTCATGACTCTCTTTTTGACAACAGGATTTTAAATGGCTGCTAAGTATCATTATATTGATACAATATCTATATTATAAAAGGCCCGTGGCCATAACGTAGTAATGACTGCTCACCAGGAGGTGCATTGAACACCTCTCGGTTTCCCCCCCGCCCCCTCCCTCCCCCTCCTACAGCACGAGCTACTAGGGGCGGAGAGCTATCAGCTTTGGAGAGCTACCAGAGGCGATGGGCAGGGCGGTCAGCTGAGGCAAGCGGAAGCGAGCTACTGGCACAATCGTGCACGCTGGGCCTCTAGTATTTAAATAATCCTTAAATTGTTAACAGTTGTTTACAATGTCATCTTTTTAGCTAAATGTTTTTGGACAACTTTAATTCTTTCCTTCAGACAAATCCCTAGAGGGGGAATCACTGAGTCAAAGGGCCTGAGGAGTATATCAACAATCCTATGCTTATTTCAGTGTGTCTCCTGAATCAATTTTTCCCCATAACCTTTTATCTTGAAAAGTTTTAACTCCACAAATGTAACATTTAAGTAGTTTCCCACATTTGCTTTATTATCTTCCCATTCCCTCTACTTTCCTCCATCCCCTCTACATAATCACCCCTGTACTATTTTTTTTAATAAATCTTTTTTTAAAATATGCTTTTACTGATTTTAGAGGCAGAGGAGAGGAGAGAGGGAGAAAAGGAGGAAAGGAGGGAGGGGAGGGAGGGAGGAATATCGATTTGAGAAACATAAATTAGCTGCCTCCTGCATGCACCCTGAACAGGGATCAAACCCCCAACTTGGGTATGTGCCCTGACAGGGAATTGAACCAGTGACCATTTGGTGTACAGGACAACACTCAACCAACTGAGCCACACCAGCCAGGGCACATACCTGTACCATTTGAAGATAAGTTACAAAACATATCACCTTGAAGAAACTAAGGCGTTTCAACTTGGCTTCTTAGAATGAGTTAGAACCACAATGTTTGACTCCTAAAACAACACCATTTCCCAAAGTAAATATAAAGGGAATTTAAGGCACTTTGCTAGTATGACCCTTCTCCCAGTCCCTTTTTCCCTGTTGAAGAAATTTCTGTTGAGTGTGTCACTTTTGCCCATAATCCTTGTGCTATGCCCAGTGTAATGGAAAACCCACTGGCTCAAGGATCAGGGAATTTGAGTTACAGGCTCAAGTCTGTCACTAACGGAGAGTAAGGTAAACATTTTTGGACTTCAGATTCTTCACTTAAAAAAAAGTAGATACACTTATCCCACAGCATTATTGCAAAGATATGTAATAGTGAACAAGCCAGTTTCCTTCTAGAGCAGTGGTTCTCAACCTTCCTAATGCCACAACCCTTCAATACAGTTTCTCATGTTGTGGTGACCCCCAACCACAAAATTATTTTCCTTGCTACTTCATAACTGAAATTTTGCTACTGTTATGAATCATAATGTAAATATCTGATATGCAGGATGGTCTTAGGCAACCCCTGTGAAAGGGTCATTCGACCCCCAAAGGGGTCGCGACCCACAGGTTGAGAACCGCTGTTCTAGAGATTAAGAATGAAGATTTGAGCACAGCCTGTGTCGCTCAGTGGTTGAGCATTGAGCCATGCACCAAGAGGTCACTGGTTCTATTCCCAGTCAGGGCACATGCCCAGGCTATGGGCTTGATCCCCAGTGAGGGGCATACAGGAGGCAGCCAATCAATATTGATGTTTCTTTCTCATTGATGTTTCTATCTATCTCTCCCTTTCCCTTCTTCTCTTTCTAAAATCAACAAAAACATATTAAAAATAAAACTTATGAATTGTTTAAAAAGTAATGATGATTTAAAAGAGCCTTTACTCCTCCTGAAAGAATACCTGATATACCTGAAATCTTTGTTGGTGACAGGAAATATGTCGATGGCAAAAGGTTTTACTGTCACCTCCCGGACAGGTCCTTCACCATCTCTGCCATCTGGTGAATTTGTTCCCATCTGGAATCTGCCACCTGGCAGCTTAACCATGCTTGTCACCTGCCCATTCCCTGTAGTGGAAAAAAAAAGAGTGTCATCAATAATACATGAGTATATAAAAAATAAGTGGCAATATTTGGATCATATGTAATACTCATAAAAATGAGTGTTCTTAAAAATAATGGAGGCTTAAAATTTTGGCTTTAAATTCTTGTTCTGGCCCTAGCTGGTTTGGCTCAGTGGATAGAGTCGCGGCCCTTGAACTGAAGGGTCCCAGGTTCGATTCCGGTCAAAGGCACATACCTTGGTTGTACCCTTGATCACTGGCCCAGGTCAGGGTGCATGTGGGAGGCAACCAATGTCTCTCTCACGTTGATGTTTCTCTCTCTCTGTCTCTCCTCCTCCCTTCCACGCTCTCTAAAAGTCAATGGAAAAAACATCCTTGGGCCCTAGCAGGTTTGGCTCAGTGAATAGAGCATTGGCCTGAGGACTGAAGGGTGGCGTGTGAACTGAAAGGTCCCAGGTTCAATTCCAGTCCAGGGCACATGCCCGGTTTATGGGCTCAATCCCCAGTAGGGGGTGTGCAGGAGGCAGCCAATCAATGATTCTCTCTCATCATTGATGTTTCTATCCCTCCCTCTCCCCTCCTCTCTGTAATCAATAAAAATACTGTAATCAATGAAAATATATTGTAAAAAAAAGAAGAGACATCCTCGGGTGAGGATTAACAACAAAAAAACACCCATGCAATAAATTCCTGTTCTGCCACTTAATTTGCTGGGTGACCTTAGGCCAGGGGTGGGCAAACTTTTTGACTCACAATGGGTTCTTAAACTGGACCTGAGGGCCGGAACAAAAGCATGGATGGAGTGTTTGTGTGAACTAATATAAATTCAAAGTAAACATCATTACATAAAAGGGTACGGTCTTTTTTTTCAATAGTTTTATTCATTTCAAACGGCCGGCCGGATGCGGCCCGCACGCAGGCCGTAGTTTGCCCACGGCTGCCTTAGGCAAGTTACTTAATCTGAGTTTCAATTTCTTCATTTATAAAATGGGAATAGCATCTATGTCATAGCCATAGCTGCATGAATTCAAATAACATGTAAAATGTTGAGCACATGGTAGGTTTTCAACAAATGTTTATTTCCTTACCTTTCTATTCCTCTACACACAACCCTGTCCCAGCTAGGTAAATCTAGACACTATACCCTAAAATATATCATCTAGCACCTTTCTACCCATACTTCTGCTCATGCTGTTTTTCGCTCTCTTCCTTCCCACTTGTTGAACTCTTATCCGTTCTTACCATTATATCATGTACTCCAGAAAAGAAAGGACTACCTCTATTTTGCCAGTGTATCCATGGCACCTAGCACAAGTGCACAATAATTATCATCAAATAATTGAATGAGCTCCTTCATACTTGCTGTTTGTATGCCTCAAAAAATCAAATTAAAAGGATCTTTAATTTGACCCTCTTATTTAACAGGAGGGAAATCAGGACCCAAAGAAGAAAGTAACTTAATGAGGCAAGCAGGAAAATATCAGAATAAAAAGGAATTAAGAAAAAACATACAACTGCAATGCACAAAGTTTATTTTGACACTAATTCAAGAAATAAACTACAATTAAAAAACACAGTAGGTAAATCTGAACACTAACTGGAAGTTAATTTTGTAGGCGGAAAATGGTATGGTGGGGGTTTTTTTCGTGACTTGTCTTTTTGGCTATTCAAGCTGAGTTATTTACGAATAAAATTGTATAACGCCTGCATTCACTTCAGCATGATCCCAGGAGAGGGGAAAGTGGGTTACCAAAGAAGCAAGATTAGCCATAATTTGGCTACTGTTAAACTGGGTGATAGGTACGTGGGGGGCACGTTTAGTTATAGTCTGTTCTTTACTTTATGCTTGAAAGATTCCAAAATAGTAAGTTGGAAGTAAAATACAGTATGAGCTGTTGTTAGCCTCGCCGGGCTGGCAGTCGCTGGGACGTGCCTCTGCCGACTAGGACTAGGAAGTGGGCTACGGTCTCTTCCCCGCGGGGCAAAGCGCCCCACCCCTTTCCTGATAATCCCTGGGACAAAGGCGCTAGGGGTAAGTGGGCAGGCCAGCACACTGACCTAGCTCGATCCACGGGCCGGACAGGAGCGACAGCAGGGTCAACAGCAGTGAAGAGCTCATAGCTCCGCAGCACCAGGAACTGGGTACACACGCCTACTCGCTCTGCTGCGCATGCGCTCCACACGCACTACGTCCCGGCGCACACTGCCCCCTGGCGCATCCTCTAGATATTGGCAACCCGAGGGCGTAATTAGTCCAGCCCAGGAAGGGGTGGGGTCAGGTTAAGAAAAAGCAATTTTCTCAGGGTTAGTGTGAAGAGGCCCTATATAATTTCAGAATCCCCTTCATGATCCTGTGAACATTTGGACTAACTTCCTTCCCTTTTATATTCAACCCCTTTTGTGCCTTGGAATACCAATGCAAGATGACAGAAAAGGTTTCAAGTTAAACATTTATTGCACACTTACTGTAGCCAAGTCCTCAAAATACAAAACTTAGCAACACAATTTCACCTTCAAGGACTGTTCATTTACACCACCTGACCTGTATAAAAAATGATTTTTTGGAAACATTGTCAAATAATTTGAGGGGGGGGGGGAATGACACTGGAGGTTTTGGGATGGGTATTTCAGCGTAAGTAAAGGTTCAGGGTGTGAAAATACAGTATGGTCTACCTGAAAATCTCTTCTCAACTAGGCCTGTCACCGTGCCTTCAAATCTCTGTCTCCTCTATTTTAATTTTTGCATTTTATAAATGTGCAGCTCTTTCAACTCCCTTGCCTCTAGTTCACCCATCTTTCTACCCACTCCCACTTAACTTTCCTAGGGAGCTTTTTAGCAAAGCTACTTCAAAGTATGAAATGTCCCACTAAAAGATCCAATCATTTTACTCACAGCAATTGATACTAAAGAAACAGGGATGCTTTCAAAACCCTGTTACTTGTGTTATTTATATTAGCATAAAATTTTTAATCTTAAATGCTCAATAGGGAATTATTGGATACATTAAAATACATCATTAGAAGAAATTATTAAACCATTAAAATTTGTTTTTCAAGGAATATTTAATAAGATAGATACCATATGCTTTTCTAATGTTTTTTTTTTTTTTTTAATATCACAGAAACGAAAGCAAAATATTCTGTGCATATTGGGTGAAAACAGCCTGCTAGTTGTGCATACACTGAGTACAATTTAAAAAAAAATAGTGTAATTATAATTTCAGACTTTGGAATTTTAATAGGTAGTTGCCATTGCTCTCTCCTTTCTTCAGATGGGAAAATTCCTTTAAAAATCATTTGAAGCCAGGACAAAAATTCCATAGCTGTATTCTTAGGATCACTCTGTAGAGTCTTCATGATTCAGGTAGTACAGGGGAAGCTTCAATTCAACCTTTTAGAGAAGACATTCCAGCTCGCATGATCTCATCAACCAGGAGTATGTTGGTGGCAATCACAGTGCTGAAAGGGGGGGAAAAATCAGATGGCTCAGATTCCAGATATGAACCCTAATTCAACTCAATTTCCAACTAATCCATGCAAATTACATCCAATTAAATTTCCCTTTCCCCCTCCATATATAAAAGTTTCATTTTTGCACTTTTTCTTTTACATTTTGATGAGGGCAGGGGTTGGGGGAATTAAACAGAATATGCCAAATAGAAAGAGTATACAGTGGGGCCTTGACTTACGAGTGTCCCGACTAACGAGTTTTTCGAGATACGAGCCGTCTTGAGTTGCGAACTAAAATTCGGGTTACGAGCCAGCTTCAGATACCCCACTGCTAGTGCGCGAACGTCACAGTGACATCAGCCCAGCATCACGTGTCTCACTCGTTCACTTTATGATTTGACATACGAGTAATTTGAGTTACGAGCTCCGTCACGGAACGAATTAAACTCGTAAGTCAAGGCCCCACTGTAATTACCTAAAGGTTATTTTAGTTTTGACTTTCCCAAACTTACCAGGAGTGAAGAAGCTGTTTCTTTACACAATAGTTATCCCATACGCCTACTTCTGCTGCTACCATTGGCTCACCTGAAAAGTAATCCAGTAGTCTTAAAATCATATATAGCAGGTCATAAGATCAGGATGATCTTATGATTCCTGTGCACAGTATCTTTGATAAACCACTGATCTCTGCTTAGAAGACTTGAGTGGTAGGAAAGCTCTATTTCGTTACCAAATATTTGAACATCTTGTTTTTCTAGACACATTTGTCCATATTAAATTACAGCACTTGAACTATAATCTGGTCAAAATGGGCTTATCATTTTCCTCATTCCAGAGCCCTTCTTATTAAATGTAAACAAGGTTGCTGACAACAGTAGGTCTTACATATTGACTGGATCTCAGTTCTCTTATATTGTACTTACATAATTTGTGTTCTTACACTGGCCTAAGACCAGGGCTTTAAGTATTTCATTGTATTTGGTTCCCTCTTCCAGCATTATTTGCTACCCTTAGCCTTTTTCCATCAGTGAATATGATCATCTATTTTATATTTCCATATCATAGTCCCTGATAAAAAATTGAGTAAACCTATTATGAAGCTTTTCAATATTAACCTGAACCACCTACCACCACTCAGTAACATCAACAAATCCATACTCTTTGAAACTATTCAAATGTATATATTTGATTCCCTTAATTACTATATCTAGTAATTCTGTTTTTATACTATATTTTAGAACCTGAGTTCACTGATAGGACTAATATTAAACTGCAAAGTAACTCCCCAAGATTCTTTTGCTTCTTCCTGGCTTTACCTCACCTATACTATCGAGTTTTCCCCCTACAAATAGTTGCATTTTCTTACCTGTGTTCAAGTCCACACCCACAAGTTGACCTGATTCTGAATGTTCTGCTTGAACTTTAACTAGTGTTTCCTGAAGATCAAAACCAGAATTCTGAGCAAGAACCTAAAGGCAAGCAAATTTAATCCTTTAAAATACAGGACCTAAGAACCGATAGTCAAATGTACAATAAATAAATAGTATATCCATTAATAATCAATAGAAAATCATTATATCGATTGTAGTTTAAACAAAAAGCAAGCTTGTACTCAAGTATATCCCCTATACACTGCAAACCCTCTTAAAATAGTTATCTCTTGCAACTTGAAACTTCAGATATTCAAGTTTCCTTTCTAGGGAAACCAAATACATTTGGATGTTCTAGTGCAGTGGTCGGCAAACTGCGGCTCGTGAGCCACATGTGGCTCTTTGGCCCTTTGAGTGTGGTTCTTCCACAAAATACCACATGGGGGCACGCACATACAATACAATTGAAACTTCGTGGCCCATGCGCAGAAGTCGGTATTTTGTGGAAGAGCCACACTCAAGGGGCCAAAGAGCCACGTGTGCCTCGCGAGCCGCAGTATGCCGACCACTGTTCTAGTGTTAGGGAGAAAACTGATCAAACTTACTCTAAATCCACATTATGAAAAAAAAAAACCCACATCAAAAAACTTTCACATTCATCAGCAGAAATCATTTTGTTCCATTTTAGAAAATGGACTGTTACAAAAGTCAGACCTTGGGAATAATGAGCAATGCATCAGCAAACGCTTGAACTCCAAGCTGGGCCCTGCCCTTTACGCTGGGCTTGTATTTCACCAGGGCGTGTGACATTGCCACTTCCACTGCACCACCACCTGGAACTACACAGCCTGTTGGGTGGGTGGGGAAGGAAGGGGGAGAAGAGAGAAAATGCTCAGCTACAAAGAAAACTGTGGAATTATAAAACAAATTAAAACACACATACATGGCCCTGGCCAGTTTGGCTCAGTGGATAGAGCATCTGCTTGCAGACTGAAGGGTCCCGGGTTTGAACATGCCCAGGTTGCAGGCTCGATCCCCAGTGGGGGGCATGCAGGAGGCAGCCGATCAATGATTTTCTCATCATTGATGTTTCTATCTCTCTCCCTCCCTCCCTTTTCCTTTCTCTCTGAAATCAATAAAAAATATTTAAAAAAATAAAAACACACAAACATGAAGACCATTAATTTCTTGAAAATTCAGTGTGACAGCAATTTTAATATTGCATTTGAAAGCAACATATCAAATAACATGATCTGATTTAACTAGCACTTGGAAGCTCTTACAATCTCTTAATTTATTTATTTGTATCCACTTTTAGTAATGATATGCTATGAAAAAACTTGGCATACCATCATAGTCATTTTAAAGGGAAGACTACTTTTGCATGGTGTCTGGCTGTGTAAGCTACTGACAAAAAGAACACAGTATTCAGCCATGCCTTACAGAATAGCAAAAAGAATACAATTAGAATAAAGTGAGGATCTTACCATCATCAATAGCATTTTTAACAGCCCTCAAGCCATCTCTTATTGCATCTTTGATTTGAGTGAGTGTGTGCTTATTTGGTCCTTTGACCAATAATGTAACAGAGCGAGGATTGTTACATTTCTCAACAAAGGTGAACTTCTCTTCTCCCTATGTAAAGAGAATATTTTCAGAAAAACAGGACATAGTTATACAAAGAATGAACAGAGAAAAAATGATAAATGGCACATTCACAGAAAACACACCGAATTACATTCAAGTAATTTCTTAAAACAAACACACACACACACACGTAAGAGAAATGTGACTTTCCCATCAGAGTATCTATCACTGCTACACATGGACCATCAAAATGTGTGTAAATAAAGCATAAATCTGATCCCAAGTTTGAATGAGTTTTTACTACTGAAGAATTCATGAACCAAAAAGTATAACCTTTGGAAAGAAAATACACTTACCAATGTATACTCATAGACAAGTCCTGCATGTCCCAAACAATCAGGATTTAGATCATCAAAAGAATTTAGAGCTACTCCACCACAAGCAAGAGTCAGCCTGAAATATTGAAGTATTTTAAGGAGATGTAAGTGATTTTTATCAGTTATGTTTAAAGAAAAGATTATTTTTAGGAAGAAATCTTTCAGAATTACATACTAAAATTATATTTTAAAATGTATTTTAACTTGTCCATTTATCACCAACCGGCTAAAAACTGGTCTTTTCTCCTAATCCTCCATTTAAACCACTTTTCCCAAGTCAGCAAATACTTCTCTGATATGATTTTTATTTTTTAAAAAATATCTTTCTTTATTCATTTCAGAGAGGAAGGGAGGAGAGATAGAAACATCAATGATGAGAGAGAATCATTGATCGGCTGCCTCCTGCACACCCCTCACTGGGGATTGAGCCCATAACCCAGGCATGTGCCCTTGGCTGGAATCAAACCCGGGGCCCTTCAGTCCGCAGGCCAATGCTCTATCCACTGAGCCAAGCTGGCTAGGGCTCTGATATGATTTTTAAAGATAAACAAAAGCTTTCTCATATTTCTCTGAAACCCTTTGATGCTGTCTCCTGACATGAAAATATATGTACACTCCGTCACTGTTTGAAAATAAAACAAGTATAGCCCAGCAGACGTGGCTCTGTGGTTGAACGTCAAGACAGGCACCAAGAGGTAACAAGGTCAGGGCACATGCCAGAGTTTCAGGCTCAACCCCAGCAAGGGGGTGCAGGAGGCAGCTGATCTATGTTGATGCTTCAATGTTTCTATCTCTCCCTCTCCCGTCCTCTCTAAAATCAATAAAAACATATTTTAAAAATAAAAGTAAAACAAGTATAAACCATTGTTCATAGTGGCATTATTCATCATAGCCAAAAGGTAGAAACCCAAATGTCTCCTGACAGATAAATAAGGATGTGATATTACCCATACCATGGAATATTTGTCCTTAAAAAGGAATGAAATTTTGATACGTATTACAATCGGATGAATCTTGAAAACATTATGCTTAATGAAATAAGCCAGACACAAAAGGGCAATTATTGTATGATTGCCTTATATGAGGTACCAAATTCAGAGACAACAGAACAGTATTTACAGGGGAAGGAGTGTGGGTAGAAGTGGGGAGGAGAAATGGGGAGTTACTGTTTAATAGGTACAGTTTCAGTTTGCAATGCTGAAAAAGTTCTGAAAATGGATAATAGTGATGGTTGCACAACAATCTGAATACAACTTAATGCCACTGAATTTTTTACACTTTAAAAAAAGGGGAAAGTGGTATATTTTGTATTATGTGTATTTCATCAAAAGAAAAAAGCAAAAATAGAGGGGGGGAAGGAATAATCTCAGTTAACTTGCACAAATTCACGTCACTCAGATGATCTGCTATCCGCCGTACCTTTCCATATTTCTTTTCTTCGCTCTGCGCAGAGCTACTATGCCTTCTTTTGCAAGAGCATCTAAGGAAAATGGGTCAATTCCCTGTTAACAACAACAAAAAGTTAGTTTTAATATATTTCACCTGAAAAATCAAAATGGATGATACAAGCTAGTTTATAAAGCAAAGTTCATTCTCACCTTTTGATTAATAACAACAAATCCTTTCTTTGAGTCACCGCAGACTTTCTTTTTCAGGTCTATTATTTTTTTAACTCTATCTTCAATGAATTTTCTTTCAGCTCTTACTAGTTTCTCTCTCTCTTCTGCACTCTTGTAAAAAAAGCCAGAATTCACTTCTCTATTAAAAATAAAAGTATGAGGGGAGAGGGAGAGTTAAAATGTTTATTTTATTTAACAAATAGCCACGTAATTCTAATCTGCCCTTGGTATATTCCGAGTTTATTCCTAGAATTCTCCCAAACCCAATCTGAGGCATTCCTGTCTGTACAGTGGAGAAACTGAGTCTCACAAAGTGACTTGCCCAAAATATCAAGCTCCCCTGTTTCTCGATTCCGTTTGTAAGAGAATATAAACTCACGTTTTTTCATATTCTAAGGACACATTGCATGTAAGGATGTATGCATCTTCTACTCTTTTTTTCATATCAGGATGCCGTGCCCCATGGTCCAAAACAAGACCTCTGATTAAGCTGTTAAAATACATTAAAAATTATGGTATATATAAACATCTAATTACTATGTTACATAGCTGAAACTAATATTGTCTGTTAACTATAACTAAGAAATAAATAAAAACACACATTGTATTGTTACTGACTTTCAGCCCGGCTGGCGTGGTTCAGTGGTTGAGCATTGACCCATGAACCAGGAGATCATCGGTTTTATTCCTGGTCAGGGTTGCAGGCTCAATACCTCATAGGGGGTGTGCAGAAGGGAGCTGATCAATGTTTCTCTCACATCAATATTTCTATCTCCCTATCCCTCTCCCTTCCTCTCTCGCTCTAAAATAAAAAACATTTAAAAAAATATTCCTTACAATATCTAATTATTTAAAAAAGGTTTTCAAGCTAGATCTTTGAAATATATAATTCCCCAACAGTCTCCCATTAGGTTTTGTATCCAACAGTTCAATAAATGCCAAACAACCGATGTAGCTCACTTTTCTGAGTCATTCTGACTATAAACACATTATACCATTAACTTCAAAAGTAAATATTACAGAGTCAATTAAATACTCATCTAGGCAATAAGTATTAATTCAAAGACACACACAAAAATCAGCCAAAAAAATGTATTGTATAAAGCGCCTATTTGTACACACAACACACTTCATAAGCATTTCATAGCATTCTACCACCTACCTTGTATCGGTTTCAGATTTATGTTTCATCTCCATGATCTCAACCATGAAGAGGTCAATAGGTTCATCTTGTTTTTTAATGGCCAAAATGGAATCAACTACAGCCTACAAGAAGAGTATAACCATTAAATGAATTTGATTTGCAGAAGTCAAGATGCTTGTGTTACTTGTTCTGCAGAGTTTACAGTTTCTCGACTTTAACATCCTTCAAATTGATCTAAGTCTTTTTCTATGAGCTAATAGAATACATTTGCAAAGGGCTGAAGTCATTTATATTTCTTAAACTTCAATTTGTCATTACCTAAAGAACCAGACATCCCTCCAATTTTATTAAAAACATTGTTAAACATTGTTAACAGTAAGCTTTTAAATAATAAAATCTCTAATTATAAAACTTTTATGAAAGCTCTGATTATGCCTTTATAACCTGGTCAGGTATATGATTATTTGAATTTCTCACTTTACTTTTTTAAGGACACAGATCCGATTATCAGTGCCACAGGAATGAGCCTACTTTTTCATGTATGAAGACTTTAGAGAGCAATCTATAATTGAAATTGGTAAGTATACTGATGTTTCTAAAATCGGGGGCTTTTAATTCAACACATACCTCTGTTAAGACATCAGCAAGTTCTGCATGAACTTTAGTACGCAGAGATGTTCTGGCCACATCTATGAGTGTTTCCCTGTCCATCTCTTTGCTTACTTTGACTTGTTCCAAAAACTGAAGTGCCTTTTCCTTTGCAGCTTCAAATCCTTCTGTTACTATTCTGGGATGAAGACCCTATAATGAAGACAATTACAAACCACCACTAACCCTGGAGTTCTTCAATTAGATGCCACTATAGCTCATGATAAAGCATATTTTTGAAGATTTATTCTGGATCATTCCTATCCTGTAATACAATATAATGTGCTGACTTTATGAATACATTTAAAAGGATAAACAGTCCTTTCAATGCAGAGGAAAAGAACAGACATTGCTCTAGCACAGAGTCAAAGCCAAGGGAACTATAAAGCACACTTGGGTGTTCACTGTGCAAACCGCAAGGAGTAGCAACAAAAACTCAACATGTCACAACAACCTGCAGTCAACAGACCATTTTATCTTTCCTATAGGTAATCGGAAATAAATTCACATCATTTACTAATAGAAAGTAGACAGGGTAACTAAGAGTCTGCTTTCTCTGTCTTCCCAGGAAGTTCTTTCTGACATCAGATTAGTATTCATTGAGGTTTGCTTTAATCTTAGAACTACTCTGGGCTAAAAAAGGTGCAGAATTTTTATTTAAGTTTTTGGTTGGCTTTTTCCTTATAAGTTGTCCCAAACATCCCATTTTTAGATCTCAATTATTAACCTACATCATAGACAGATATAAATAATATATGCAATGCAACTTGATAAAAGAAAACCTTTCAGGCCAAGGAAGATTTAACTTGTCCAGAATCACAATAAATTTGTGTCAGACGAAGATAAAGACTCTGGTTTCCAGACTTAAGCCCCCCAGCTCTTCACATTCTGCTATGGCCTCAGCCACTATTAATGCATCAATGAATTTGTAAAAATAAAACCCATATTATTTCTTATACATAATAAAATATCACAAAAACACAAGAATCATGTATACTTCAGAAATGTAGAGATCTGCTTGTTTCAGTAGTTCTCCAATATTTAGGATATTGGAAGTGGTAGCAGCACCAGTTATGACATCCTGGGCTGTTGCTGCTTTGGCTATTAAGGAGGCTGTGGAGTATTGAATTTGCTGAAAAGTAGAAAAAGACAAAATTGAGTAACTTAAAACAATCCAAATATACCTTAAAATGTGAGAAAGGCCTCCTTTTAAGTGCTATGTACCCAAATTGCCCAAGTGTTCAGCTACGTATTCCTTTAGTTATTTTGCACTGTCAGTTCCTGACAACTAAAACCTTTTCATATATAAATCGGTTTACTTCTCAGGATCATCTCTAATTTCCTAGGAAGGAAATCTGAGGCTCAGTTAAAGTTTACTCCAAGTGATAGAGCGAACAAGTACAGTACCTAATAGTTTCAAACCCATGCAAGCCTCCTTATGACAAAGCGAGGACCCGTGTGCCTTCTCCAGGATCACTTGGCACGATCCAAACAATGAGCAGCCCTGCTGGCCAAGACCATCAGTGGATGCCACATTACTGGATGGGAAGGCTTTGGAGGAACAGGCTACCCATCAAGTCTCCAGGGCTCCTCACTGTACGGTACGGTACGGTACTGTACTGTAGCTACTATGACTGATCACATTTCTTTCCTACTTCCTGCATTGTCTGGAAAACTATCTGATGAGAATACGATGCCCTCCTACATCGCGAATAAACATTACAGATCTTCCCACAAACCCAACGTCCTATGGAGAACCCAGACGGCGCTGACCGCTCACCATTTCATGCAGCAGCACATTGCCATCTTTAGTGAGCTTGATGTCTCCAGCTCCAGACACAAGCCTGTTCGAGGGGCAGAAATGAACCCGTGTGACTTTTTCCACGGAGACCAAAGGGACCCCCACGAAACCCAGTCCTACGGCGCTGGGGCCACAGGGTTGGTTCCCTCCTCCCGGGAGGCATCAGGAATGGTGCAGTGCCCACCCCTCCCTGCTGAACACGTCTGCCGAGTCCCCGGGGTCGCGCAAACCCCAAAGCACGAGGGACGGCCGCCGCGCACGCGGGCAGCTTTGTTCCCCGTGGAGACGGCACCGACTACGAGAGGCAATGGCCGGAGCAGGATACAGGCCCGACCAGGGAGAACGCGGGAAAAGGGACTGCAGCGGCGCACGGAGGCCCGGGGGCCCGGCGGGCTGGAGACCACCACTCGGGGCATGCGGCATGCGGCCCGCGGCGGTGAGCGCAGCGCGGGCCCGCCCGGCCCTCCCCTCCAGCCCCGCCTTACATCTTCATGGTGCCCTTAGGCCCCAAGTTGGTCCTCAGCACGTCCTGCAGACCCCGGGCCGCGCTGATGTTGACCGCCAACGCTGCCTGGGCTCGGGCCACCTCGGCTTTGGGGTTCAGGCTCTTCACGGCCGCCATAGTGGAGCCCGCAAAAGAGGGAAAGACCGACGCTAGCTCAGCCGGGCCGCGAGGCGCTCCCCGGGTCTTCTGGAAGAGTCGGGCGCGCCCGCCCGCCCCCTGCGTGCCTACGCGCCGCCGCCATTGGGCCGCGGGTGCACCGGCGCCTCCGCTCATTGGGTCGCAGTCCTGCGGCCCCGCCCCCTCGCGCCGGGGCCCCTGCGCCATTGCGCCCGGAAGGTTCCTGTCCCCGGGCAGCGTGGCGGGCAGGGCTAGTGTTAGCAGCGCATCCGGCCTAGGTCCGCGGACCGATTTGTGCGCCGGGGCCGGCTGGGTCTGGGGCTGGGTCTGCGCGTTACCCGAGAGCGGGGGGCTATTTCCTGGGGGCCTCTGCCCGCAGGGTGTAGGGTGGGCTTTCTCCCGCTCCCACTCCCGCGGTTGGCCTTGCTCCCTCCCCTGCTTTTATGCCTGTTACCTGCGTTTTCTGGGTTATACACTCTGTGCTTGACAATGTTCCAGGTCCTCTGTGGGTACTTGAATGAATCTGATGAGGGTTGTGAGGGGAAAGGGGGCTGTGCAAGAAATCGGTCGAGCTCAGGCGGGCCACATGGTCGGTCTGACAAGCTCAGTGGCCAAAAGTCACCACCTAGGATGGTCTGATCACAAATTCTAACCGTGCAGGTCAGCGCTGGTCGTCATCCCAGGCCTACATGGCTCCCTTAGCCAAGGTCAGTCTCTACCTGAGTGAGTTCTGTCCCTTGTTCTTATGCAGCTAAGATATAGCTTAGAAATGTACTTTCCTACCCCTGGAAGGCATAACTGCTGGCACCAGAGCAAGAGACCACAGAACCCCTCATTATCGTGTTCCCTGAATACCATCTCTGTGTGCTATAAATGCTTATTTTAAAAATATTTTTATAGAGAGCCCGGCCAGTGCTCAGTGGTTGAGGAGGTCACGGTTACATTCCGGGACAGGACACATGCCCAAGTTGCAGGCTCTATCCCCAATAGGGGTGGGGTGGGAGGCATTGATGTTTCTCTCTTCCTCTCCCTTCCTCTCTGAAATCAATAAAAACTAAAAGTATATATATTTTTTTTCTAGAGAGAGAGAGAGTGAGAGAGAAACATTGATGGGCTGCCTCCTGCACACCACCCCCTACTGGGATCAAACCCACAATCTCCACAAGTGCCCTGACCTGGAATCGAACCAGTAACCTTTCAGTGCACTAGAGGACACCCAACGAACTGAGTCACACCAACTAGGGTGATATAAATGTTAATTATTTTTTTAAATATATTTTTATTGATTTCAGAGGGGAAGGGAGAGGGAGAGAGAGATAGAAACATCAATGCTGAGAGAGAATCACTGATCAGCAGCCTCCTGCACACCCCACACTGGGGACTGAACCTGCAACCTGGGCATGAGCCCTTGGCCGGAACTGAACCCGGGACCCTTCAGTCCACAGGCCGACGCTCTGTCCACTGAGCCAAACCAGCCAGGGCTAAATGTTAATTATTAACTATCCTGTACCCACCAATGTAAAAGAAATATATGTTTCTCCATTTTGCCTTTTATCCAATCCTAGAGAGTTCCCTGCTATGCTTTCTTCCACCTTATTATCTAACACCAGTGGGTTTCATGTAACCCTCCTTATTATCCTCCTTTAATTATGATGTATAAAATAAGCTGCAACATTGCCATTCTCCGGAGCCTTTCTCAGTCTGTTGAGATCTTGCTTCCTGGTGTATGTTGTTAATTTGGTTCAAATAAGCTCATAAAAATTAGTTCTTTAGGTTTGGATGTTTCTTTTTAAAAATGTGTTTTTATCGATTAAGAGAGAGGCAGGGAGAGGAAGAGAGAGAGAGAGAGAGAGAGAGACATCAATGTGAGAAACACCTATCAGTTGCCTCCCATACGTGTCTCAACGAGGGATTGAACCTGAAACCTGGGCACGTACCCTGACCAGGAATTGAATCGGTGACCTGTAGGTACATGGGACAATGCTCAACCAACTGAACCACACCAGCCAGGGCAGACGTTTCTCACCTTGACAGGACCCTCGCCCAGTGTCCTAGGTGTGTTAGGCTAGGGAAAATGAAGTGATAAATGCAAGGTAGAAAGTGCTAGATGCTTTCAGAAAGCTACAGGATTGGTGCCATGGCATTTGAGGTGAAGCAAGAGTCAGTTCACCTTTCAGACTCAGAACACACTGCTGAGGCCTTACTTAGGCCCTTAAGTCAGGTTTGAAAACTCAAACTTGATTCAACAATGGTGTCCAGCCTTTGAGAGGACTCTACTTTTAAAAAATATGTTTTTATTGATTTTAGAGAGAGAGAAAGAGGGATAAAAAGATAAAAACATTAATGAGAAACACCTATCCGCTGCCTCCTGCATGCCCCCTACTGGGGATCGAGCCTGCAACCCAGGCATGTGCCCTGACTAGGAACCAAACTGGTGACTTCTTGGTTCATGGGTCGACCCTCAACCACAGAGCCACACAAGCTAGGCAAGAGGACTCTATTTTTTTAAAAATATATTTTATTGATTTTTCACAGAGAGGAAGGGAGAGAGATAGTTAGAAACATCGATGAGAGAGAAACATCAATCAGCTGCCTCCTGCACATCTCCCATTGGAGATGTGCCCACAACCCAGGTACATGCCCTTGACCGGAATCGAACCTGGGACCTTTCAGTCCTCAGGCCAATGCTCTATCTGCTGGGGTCCAACCCCAGCAGGTCCAGGGGTCCCCAAAGGTGTGGACGGTGTCGGCGAAGAAGGAAAGACACAGAGACAGCGTTCAGTTGATCAGCAGCCCAGTCAGTTTCTCTAGCCAAGTTCTGGTCTGGATCTCCAGCGAAGTTCTGGTTCGGATCTCCAGCCAGGTTCTGTGTCCATGTTCTCTTGCTAGGTTCTCCAGCCAGGTTCTGTAGCCATGTTCCCTCGCTAGGTTCTCCAGCCAGGTTCTGTCCAGGTTCTCCAGCCAGGTTCAGTCACCAGGTTCTAGTCAGGTTCTCTTGCCAATTTCTGTAGTCAGGTTCAGTCCAGGATCTTTTGCCATATTCTCTCGCTAGGTTCTGTCTCTAGATTCTGAGGCCAGTTTCTGTCCAGGATCTTTTGCCATGTTCTGTCTCTAGGTTCTTCTCTAGGTTCTGTGTCTAGGTTCTGTGCCTCCTGGTTCTGTCTTCTAAATTCTGTCTCTTTCTGTCTTGTTACATCTGTATTTATACCAGTTGATTCAATCCTATCAATCTCTATTTCAAAGATTAGGGCGTTTCTTATCTCCATTCCAGGGAGTAAAGATTATGTAGCTTAAGCATGATTGTTCGTAGTTAAAGTGATCAATTACCTGCCTGGCACTTAGTTGAGGGGTTTTATTCCCTCCCTAACTTCAGGGGAAAATCCCTACCTGGGGAAACAACCTTTCTCAGAGAGGAGACCTTGGTTAAAACACATAGTGCCAAGAAGGTGAGCAAACATTTTAAGAACAGTATGCCATATATGCCAGGTCCTTTGAAACAGCAAGCATGGACCGGCTCCCGGCATCTATCCACTGAGCCAAACCGGTTTCAGCAAGAGGACTCTATTTTTAAGAGAAAAATTCTGAACGATGTCCACAATTGTTTTCTAATTTCTAGTTCCCCAAGTACCAGGTATTTTGTAATGCTTTATATTTCATTTTTATAGATAATAATAAAAGTTATTCAAAAGGTGCCAAAGGGTATATCGTAAAAAGTTGTCTTCCTCCCTCTGGTGTAACTTCCACCAGACAAGCACTGTTTCCTTTGGATGCTTTGAATTCCCCCAGATGCTTTCTGAATTTATAAATAAATATATATGTACAAAAGAAAAAGATTTAAAAAAATAAAAGAAAGAAAAACAAACAAAAAAATAAAATAAATAAATATATATGTATAAATAAAAGCATTTTTTCTCCACACAAAATGGCAATTTATAATACACATTGCTGCATGTGTTATACTTTAGGTATCTTGGAGATGGTACCATATCAATACAAATAGAGATTCCTCATTCTTATTAACAGCTGCATGATATTACATAGGTTTGTATATTTGATAATCACAAAAGCATCTATATAAGTTTGAGTAATAGCACAACACAGTAGAAGAAGATTCATGATGTTACTTGCTGTGCATGGAGATTTATTTAACTACCGTTAGAGATGATGTCACTTAGCCCTACTTTATAGATTAGAAAATTGAGTCAAAAAGTTAAGTAACTTGTCCAAGGTCACATACTGGTAAACATTGCAAAACTAGAATCCAAACATGAACAGAAATGAAGATTGCAGAATATCAGGCCTCTACTTACAGGTAGGGAAATGGGGAGTGGAAAGACTCTCACTTTCCTGAGGTGAAAAGTTTAAGGGGCACTAAAAATTCAATAATTGAGATCAATTATATATATACATATTTTAATCCTCACCTGAGGAGTGAGGATATTTTTTCCACTGATTTTTAGAGAGAGTAGAAGGGAAGGGGATAGAGGCAAAGAGAGAAACATTGAAGTGAGAGAGACAGATCAATTAGTTGCCTCCTGCTCAAGCCCTGACTAGGGCTGGGAATTGAACCTGCAACCAAGCTACGTGCCTTTGACCAGGAATTGAACCCAAGACCCTTCAGTCCGTGGGCCAATGCTCTGACCACTGAAAAACCCTGCCAGAATGCAATATTTTAATGCAATATTTTTTAAAAATCAAAGTTAATACAAAAACTCCACAATTAACAAATATCAGAGTTTTAAATTAGGCATCTCCACAAACATCCCCTCGGGCATTAGACAAAGCAAAACAGAAGGATCCCCTTGATTCCTCTAGAGGCAATCTATTTGCATATTTTATTTTACTAGTCTTGGTTATCACAAGTTACTTAACTTTTTTGACTCAATTTTCTAATCTATAAAGTAGGGTTAAGTGACATCCTAGAGAAAATTAAATGTGTAACATGGGCTGTATGTGCCAAATGTGGAAGGTGTTAAGTAAATTGTCACTACTGCATTCATATAATGTAATTATTTATTTTTTTTAGCAGCTTGACAGATAGGTTTTCAATTTCTTGCTCTCTCTCTCTCTCTCTCTCTCTCTCTTTTC